ATTATTGAAAATGAATGTTCAAGACTCATCCGCTCATACCAGCAATCGATAAACTTATTCATCGTTTCGATATTGATAACGGCTTTTGATGTAAAGTAAGCCTTTACATGTTTTGAGTATTGAATAACTTCTTTGTCAGATACTCGACCCTTCCCTCTCAATAATAATACTGGATCAATGCGATCATTTCTTTCGGGAAATACTGTGAGAATAACTGTTGCAAAACGCTAAAATGAAAATTGTATTATTGTCATTATATTAAATAATGAATATACTCGAGAGCTACCATCTGGAAGAACTCCCTTTCGAGCAAATATTTCCTTCAACTTCATTGTCAACACTCACATAGTTGATGCTTCGCTTTATTTGATCATCAAAAAGAGTCAGGAGTGGCTCATCGAAATTGCACAGGTTACGTGGAATGAATGCACTCATAGGTCCCCGTTTAGCTCCCCACTTGCTTGCTTCACGTAGATAATCATAAAACAAAGTGGCATGTTCATGAGCGTCGGGTAACGGTATCTTTTGATTTCTTTTTGGCCGTTGTAAAGATCATCGATGTCGTATCATAAACCGCCTGTACCATTTCATTGATGGTGCTTCATATTTCAATTCACTTGATAAATTTGTACCTTGTCGAAATAATTTTTTAAACGTTACCTTCTCGTGTCGAATTATAGATGCTATTACGGTTCACAGTGTTCGATGTTCGGTAAACCATTTGAATAGACGATCATCTAAATCAGCATATTTTATCTTATGCCCACGACCTTTAAGACGTTTTCGTTGTCTATCTGAAATGGAAAAAAATGAAATATTTTACCAGTTACACAAATAGTGAACTTATTGTACATCAGTAGTTCACCTGTGCTCAAAGATTGGAGATTATTTAACTCCTCTTTTATTTTTAACCATTCAGATAGCTGGTGTCGCGTACATTTGGCATGCACCAAAAACAAAAGTGGTTTTGAATTTTGGTTTTAAAATTAGTTTTGGTTTTGAAGGTTTTGGTTATCACCATATAGGTTTTAGTTTTGACTTAAAAGAATAACCTTTTTCGACTGATCTAAAAAAAAAGTAAGACCTCAAAACCAAAACCATATCGGAGCGGCCACGCGTTACGAAATTTCATTTTTTCACATTAGATCTTTTATAATTCTTCAGTAATGAAACCAAAATAGCTGAAATTTTTATTATGAATACAGGACATTTTACTCTATGTACAGTAAAAGTTTCAATCATTTTTTCTCAACCAAAGCAAAGTTATTGAATGAATATTGAGCGTTACGAAATTTCAAAAAATGGAATTGTTTTTCACACTAGATCAGAATTAAGTGTTTTTCTACGAAATGAAGTACCGCAAAAAAGACTCTGCATACAAAAGTTGTTCAGCTTTTAACAAGCTATTAGAATATCACGGCATTTCTTATCTACTTAGCTTCATCAGATAAAAATTTTAAAATACCACTCGTTACGGAATTTCAACTTTTTTCAAAGATCGTGATTTATACTCAATGAAAAGCGGTAGAGTGAAAAGTAAGCATATATTCGTCACCAGCATGAAATTATGCGTCGAATGAATCACTTTTCAACAAGATTCCGACAAAAAAAATTCGAAGTTTTTTTTTTGTCAAAAAGTTTTTCGAAAAAAATCAAAGTTGTAATTTTCAATATATAAATATCTCATTTAGTTCAGAATTTGATGCCGATTCCGAATATAGTCAAATTTTTTATATATCTACAAATGAAATCAGTGAAAAATGCTTGATACTGTAAACGCACCTAAAATTCGTATACTTAGGAAATTCCGTAACGAAAGTATTTTCTTTTAAATATACAAAGACACAACCGAATCTTAATAAGAACTAGTGCATTCAATAGTTTTTGAAAAGGTCTATCTGGCTATGTAGTTATTTATCAAATTAGCTTGAGACATCAGCGAGTAAAATACATTATAAGCAGTTTTTGTTACGGAATTTCATAAAAAAATCAGTTGATTTGCGAACACTTTATCGAATTATATAATATTTGAAATTTCATTTGAAGGTTTTATTCGAAGAGAGCACATTGTTTTCTATATAGTGGTGTGTATTCTAACTTGATTAAATTCATGGACAAGTAATTTTTCTAAGAATTCTATCGGACGAAAAAATGACACTCACATCACTGCAACGCTCGCACGCGGTAGATGGCGATACCAGTTCTATGTACTATTCTTAGTACTCTCTTGATCCACATATTCAATTCCATTGATTTTTAAATTCGAACCTTCCTCGTGGATGGGTGACCGATGCATGGCCGATCCGATATCAAAACCAAAACGTTTGGATTTTATGCATGCCTAGTTTCATCCAAGGTCAAACAAAATGCTAATCTGGATCTGGATCCCATCAAACTTCAAATCAGCTTACTGATGTATACGTAGTATTGTCCTCTCGTTTTGCATTTATTTGATCTAAACTATTAAATTATTATATATAGAAGTTGTCTCCAAATAACTCAACCTTAGAATCTCAAGAACATCGATCACCATATCGTGCTAACAACATGTCAGGTCACGGTTCGGCATCAGCTGTTGATCTGAAATCAATTGATATAGCCAACAAATGGTGTAATGATCATTCGACAGACATGAATATGTACAATATACCCTGTGAAAAAACATCGTTAGTATTAATTTTTCATTTTGCCGGTATGATAATAATATAGCCATTCTTCTGATTTTATATTTAGTGGATGCAAATAGTGTTTCGATAATTAAATGCTTAATTTACAACGAAATGGAATGTTCACGTTCATTTCCGAGTATATTAAAGAAATCAAATATAATAAATATGTTTGAACACACTTATAAAGGTCACTAAGAACAGTATAATGATATAACAGCTGATTATCATGCATGGTGCGAAGGAAAAGTAGTGAGTGCATTTTTCTTTCCGACGTTTGAAAAAGACGAGAGAGACTATAGTAGGATTTCATTTTTTTAAATTTATTACATGCGATATCTCATAAATTTATCTTGCAATACCCAGAACAATGATTCCTGAAGCAGTATTCCGTGAATTTCCGGCGAAAACCTTAAAGAGTTGATCCATTCGCTACCCTAGCTCCTATACTCATTGTTCTCCGCAACTTTCGATGGATTTATTCCATCTATCTGTAAAATCAATATAAAAAATTATTCAAAAATTTTTACAAAATTAACTGTTGAAAGCTACGGTGTTTTTTTACTTATATAAAACCATTTAGTTGTGTCTTGTTTTCTGCATACATGTTTATTACACACATTTTTGATGACTATATCATCTTAAAGAAGTCGAGTAGAAACTGCCTGTTGACGTTGTTTTCAATAAATACCATTTTCTGAAACATTCAAAAAAATGTTTTTTTAATAATCATCATAACGTTTTACTGAACCCAGATCAAACAAGCACGGTCTTAAACGACCGTATACGAAGTCCATAGTCGTCGATCTGGGTCCTGATAAACTGTTATTTCTATTGTCTTATTTCCCATTGTGGTTTTTCAAGATTAACCCGCAAATACGTACATAGTCATCATTTACTTATTGTTTCTTTTGTTTTTATTTTGGGATGATTATAAACTAACTCTAATATGTCATTATCTAATTTAGGCTCAAGCAATGGAGAAAAGCACTAAATACTCGGCAGCACCCAGGTCGACTGATCCGACATCAGATCCTTTAGGAACCTGGAAATATCCTACAATCCGATACAATCCTATTGGATTTCGGGGCGAGGAATCGATGTCGAATCCTTAGTGTCGGAATCCTATGAGCTTCCGATGACATACAACGGTTTTTCCTTGGAATTCATAGGAACCCAACACTGAGGATCCGACATCGATTCCTCGACCCGGAATCCAACGATAATTCTGTAAGATCCGGCAGGATCCGATAAAATCCTATTGGATTCCCAGTCGGATCGGATGGGTTCCGATAGGTGCCTACTGTCGGATTGCTCGACCTGGGCAGTCAATGGTCTTGCTACAAAATCAAATGATATTATGTCTTTACATCGGTGGCGCCCTCAATAACGCAGAGTTGATGTCCAAACTCAAGCAACTCAATGACGAGTATTTGCAGACAATAAATCAAATTTAGTGTTGTTTTTTTTTTAATAAACATAGGCATTAGTTGATCTCGTGATATTTGAAGTGGAATTTATTGAATCGGTTACAATTGACAACGATATAACTCTTTGCTCGATCATCTTACTTAGAGAAATTAGTAAAAAATACTATTTAATTTGCAACGCACATTAAGTTCTAATTCTTCAAAGAGAGTTGATGATAAAATATTAATAATTTGTTTATTCATATATTGTAATAGGAAGAAAATCTTTTCAATTGAGGATTAGCCTTAAAGAACTGGCCTTGTATTTGACCTATAAACCTATACTGAACAAAGTAAGATAACACTTGTAAAATGTTCGAATATGATCTGAAAAGCATACAGAAGCATTCACAAGTCACATATATTAATCTCCTTTCTTACAACAACAAACTTTAATTTCTTGAATTGTAGTTCTCAAGTAAATCGTATTTCAAAAAAACAAATATTCTATAAAAAGCTCCTATTTTCTTTTAACTCGTAATCGAAAGCCAGTACTCTATTTACAATACTTAAAATTCGCGATGTTACTGTCACAAGATATCAACGCAACTGCTGAACCATCAAAGAATTCTGATATATTATTTTGCTGTTGAAGAAATCTAAATGATGGAAATGCGAAATATGAGACGTGACTTTATTCACAATGACAAGTTTATTAATCTAGGATTGTTTATAATTACAATCATTACATGAAAACAGTTACAAGTAATATTATTAGAAACAAAGAAAGTAAGATATTAAATTACCCGAGAGTAAAAGGCAATGCGAAGAGAGAGAAAAAAACACCACTCATTGGGCGGACATTCACAAGCACACACGCATAACTACCTGAGAACTGATGAGCGAAGAAAACAACACGATCTTTCTATTTATTATTCTTATTCGTCGGAGTCTTTTTTTCTATAATAATATTGCCTTGAGCATCTTTGATTTTGATTTTTCCATTTGCATAACGTATTTCTTGTTCACCCGTATTGAATACTGTTAAAATCGAACCATTTGGAAACAGTTTTCTTTTATAGGTATCTGTGTGAACTTCTTTTGTTTGATTTGGATGTTGAATAAATTTCTCTCCATTCGTTTTTATTGATATAATTGTACCGTCCGTTAAATAAATATTTTTGGTCTTATCAGGTAAAATATGTTCTTGTCGTCCGTCAGGTAAATGTTTTTCGATCTGTCCATTTGGAAATTCATATATATGTGTACCATCTGGATATTCAGTTTCAGTTGTGTTTGTACTTGCATATTTATATATACAACGACCATCGGATAGTTTTTCTTTATAATCACCATTATAAAATTGAACGCGTATTTGTTTTCCGTCTGCGCTTATTTCTTGTTTTGATCCATTCGGAAATACGATTTGTTTCGATAAATCCGATTTAATACGTTCAACACGTCCATCATTATGACGAACTTCTTCAAGGACTGCGTTATTGGTTGTCATCGATAGATTTTCTTTAAAAGTTATACTTTTAGTTGTTGATGGCATACTCATATGAGATGTTGGAATGATAGAATCATTATTTGTTATTGATAATGGTTGCCGTTTTATTGTTGGTTGATCAAGAAATGATAAGGTTTCTTGATGTCGTTGAAGAAGTGTTGCCGCTGATGATGTTGTACGTGTAGCCATGGTTAATAATGATTTATAATCAAGTGCAGTTGAATAATTTGTTTCATCATTATCCATGAACGCTTTTTGATAATCACAATTGATAATAGATGATAAAGGTCTAAATATAATAAAAAAACGTAATCGAAAAATATTTTTGCTTCTTCTATTGCATGATAAAACACAGTAGAAAGTTTACTCAGCTTTATAGGACCCTCCTTGCTATGTCTCGCTTATTGTACTTACGGTGATATATGTTCATTATGTTTTCGATCAAATCGATTACTATCTTCATCACTTCCACCATTTCCTGAATCAGCTCTTTCTGATATAACAATAGGTGGTTCAATAATTGTTGGTATTGGCATTGATTCTATTGTTCCGGTTAAGTCACTCGTTGATGGTGGACGTTTTGTTGTTGGTAATGACGATAATTTTCTTGATGTATCAACATTATTTTTTATTCCGTTCACACCAATGATGGCTGTTGGTGTTCGTCGACCATTTGATGTTACTTTTGGCTTAGTAGGTGGTTCAGAATTTCTTACAACCATAGTTTTCGGTAATGATTGAGTTTTTGATGTTGCTGTTGGTACGGTACTTTTTGGACGTTGTTTAGTTTGTTGAAGTTCAACAAGAGATTTTCTCGTTGTCGATAACGAATCGTCGTTTAGTAGCAGTTGTTGTTGTTGTTGTTGTGATGCAGATGATTGTTTAGACATTGTTTGTAGCTGATGCATAAGTTCGAGTCGTTTACGTTCAATAATGTCTTTTTCTTGTTTCACTTCAGCATTTTCATATTCCAACGTTTCAATACGTTCTTTTAAACGATTGACTGTTGTTGACCAACGTGTTTCACGTTGTTTTAAATCTTCTTGTAAAGTTGAAACCTACGGATATTAAATGAAATTTCAATGAAGTGTGTAAAACAAAAGCTCTGTATTTCGTTTTCCTACTTGTTTTTTTAATAATTCAATTTCTTCTCGTTCACGTTTATCCGGATGATCACGTAGTTGTTGTCGATGTTGTTCGAATAGACGTTTTTCATGTTTTAGCCTTTTCATTTCCTCTTCTTTCATTTGATTGAATGCTTCGGTTTCTTTTTGTTTCGTTTTTTCGAATTCATCACGATCTTGTTTTAATTTTTTTATAGCTAAATTACGTTCATTACACAGCGATTGCAATTTAGCATTTTCTTTTTCAAATAATTCAATTTGTTTCTCTAATTCTTTCGCTTTTTCACGCACTAAACGACTATAATCTTGATTATGTTCAGAGGCAGATGCTGGTGGCGGTGGTGGAAGAGGAGGAGGAAGAGTTGATGCTGGCGTTGGCACCGTATGTCGTAAACCTGGAAATGTATTGAGCATTAATGTATTGAGTGGTGCAGGATTGACACGATCAGCCCATGATTGATCATCACCAAAATCAGATGAACGTGCTGAATCTTTCTTTGGTTGATAATGTGATTGTCGAGGAAAATCAGTTTTAAATGAACTAATACCGCTATCACTATTATATTCATCGGCAACAATAGGTATGACTTTAGCTACTTCAACATCATCCCATTTATGATCTTCGTCGTCATCATCATCGTCGTCATCTTCACGATCGCTTGATATGGTAGTCGTGGGTGCTGTTCTTTGTTCAATGCGAGTTTCAACTTTCTGCTTAAATGGAATAATTTTTCGTTGTCGAATACGATTTGTAGTTGTTGATAAATCATGTGGTTCATCATCATGATCTTCTTTATGATAATGAATTAAACGATTAACGAATACATCTACTGTTTTAGAATTTTGATCATCCTGAAAGAAAAAAAAGGCAATTTTGATTAATATCGTTTAAAATGTTTTTCATCGCCACTGTAAAGGGTTTCGATTTTTGGGGCTACTACTTTAATTTGTAGGTGTAGAAGAAAAAAATTCTTACATTAAAAACTACTTTATCAACAAAAGATGCTGTACTGATCATTGATGGATGTTCTTCGGCATACTGTTCTAGTTTTTCAAACTCATCTAAATCCTAAATAGATAATTTTTTAAATACAAAAAACTTAAAAAGAAATGATTTTTAATACTTTTTTAGGTTGAACTGATGAAACTTTTGATTGAATAACACTACTACGACTCGATGTACGTTGACGACTAGTAGAATATAAATGTTCGTCATCATCGTCATCAACTTGTTCTTCTTCATTATGTTGAAACGATGTTTTATATGCATTCCATTTCGATTCAATCATTGTTTGTATATTAGAATTGAATTTATTCATCGAAGTTGTAAATTCGTCATCATTATCATTGTGTGCGACCGGATTTTGCTTCGATTGATATTTTGTTAATAAATCATCTTCATCGTCGAGATCAACTTTACCTAATAAATTACTTTGAGTAGAAATAGGAGCTGTTTGTTTAGTTGAATTTGTATTATTTATTGTTTTAGTTGGTTTAGGTTTCGCTGACGAACGTGATGCTTGTCGATTGGACATCATCGTTGCAGATGATGAATTAGCACGTGATCTTTGATTTGTTGTTGCACAACGCGAATTACTACTTGTACTACTGGCACTTGATGGTCGTTTAGCAGTCTAAATAAAAAGCATTATTTTTTGTTCAGTTTACATAAAAATGGTTATCAATCGATTATTAGCCGAAATTAATGACTACGAACATTATTGATGATAAGTTCAGTATTTTTCGCCATACCTTGTTAGAACTTTAATCATGTTGTAAATAGATCTCATACCTTGTTCAATTCTCCTTCAGTACTTAGCATAGGTCAATAAAAATTATTTGTCTGTGAATGAAACACTTTCAAAAACTTTTCTCATATCCAATTACGATAACTGCTTAATATCGTCCAAGAGCTTCTAGAATATCCTTCGCATTTTGTAAAAAGATCATAACAAGAAAAATGAATTTTATTAGCCTAAACATAAACAGAGTTCAATATGATATTTTGTTTTACCTCATTTCTTGTATTATGAGTTGTATCAGTTGTTTTCGGACATGCTTGACGACGTTTAGGTGGTGCTTGAAAATGTGCAAGACCTTGACGTTTTCGTAGAAATGGTCTTTTTTCTTTAGCTCCTTGATTTTGGCTATGAAGCAATTCATCTTTCTAAATAAAAGATACTCTTAATTAACTAAAAATGTTCTTGTTTTCTCGTCTTTTAATAACAACAATAACAAAAACAAATTTATAAGACTAGATATTATAGGGATTTATATGCACGAGAGAGAGAGAGTCTTTCATTTATCTGTCTAAATGATTTCTATTCGCGATGAAATGTTTATAAAGATTTGGATTGTACTGTTTTAATATAAATAATATCATCATCATCATTATCATCATTAATTTGTTCTTGTTGATTGAAATAATTTGCTGATTCCATAGATAAAGGATCTATTTTTATTGAATCTTCAATTGTTTGTCTCGCTACTGTTACTGGCAAAGTATTTGTTTGTTGATAGAAATAATTTAAATCATAAAATAGAGATAAAATGTCCTTAAATTCTTTTGTTTGTGGGCTCTTTAACAATAAATCAGCTTTAACTAATAAAGTGTCTATGTTTATTGAAGTTATCGATTGTATATGATCACGATTATTATAGCATGCATTAAATATATTGTGAAGATTATTTAATATTAGCCTAAGATCGTTGTCTCGACACATTCTACATAAATAATAATCACAACATGGGCATAAATTTAAAACATCTTTTTCTTGACATTTATAACATTTTCCATTAACATCATAATTCAGTGGAATTAAATCAAGAAGTTGATTATGAATAAGAGATTTAGGACACTGATCGGAACTTCTGTATGAAGACTTATAACCACATATAGGACAATTTAATTTCGGGCGAGACCTATTCGTTGCTACACGTTTATTCAGACACGTGTAACAATATGCATGTTGACATGGTAATGTACGTGGATCGTACAAACGATTGAGACATATAGAACATTGAAGAATTTTGTCGACAGTTGAATACGAATAGGCTAATTTCGAAGAGTCATTGCTCGCACATGGTAAGTTTTTAACTAGAAAACAAAAACAAAAACAAATGAAGATTATTCAAACGTAAGCATTTTTCCCATTTGAAAAGCGACATCTAGTCAATAACGTACGTAATTAACTCAATTTTTGTTTTCTATGTTTATTAAAAATCCATGCTTACTATCGATATTTATTGTATTGCAGATCTTCGATTGGCTCATCGGTATAGTCATAGAGAAAGTAAAATCATGTGTAGATGCCATAATTAGAAAGAATTTTTGATTGATAATGATAATAATAAATCAAATCAGTTCAGTTTTGAATATAGCTTGAAGAAATCGTACAACGAGAATGATGTTTGTGTGACTAGTCTAATAGTATAAATACGAAGAAAAACATTTGTAAAGGAATGTTCCTTTTTCTTTCTTTTCTCTTCTCGAAGAGAGACAGAAGGAAAGAGAAGGAAAAAAAACTTACCACTCATCATTGATGATATTTGTTATCGTATCATTAAAATTTTGTTTTTCTTTAAAAATCCATTATCGCTGTTGAAATATAAAGTTGTTATTGTTGTCATTGGTCTGTTTTCATCAATTAAGCTACTCGCATGTGTTCTTACATTTTACTTTTATACAATGCTAAAGCATTGTTTTTCTCTCGTGTGCATTTGGGATTCGATATGAAAGAAAAAAAAAGAAAATTACGAATGTTTGTTTACCTCTGTTTGAAGTTTTTCAAGGATATATTCACTATATTTTAAATCTAATATAGAAATCAACATAGAAAGCGTTATCAATATTATTTCAATATTTTACTTTCATTTTTGCTAAATCTTGTTGAAACAGGTATGTCATCAATTGAAGTAACGGGTGGAGCTGTATAACGATATGTTTTTTCCGCCTGTCTGATGTCGTCATCATCATCATCATCATCATCGTCGTCGTCGTCGTCGTCGTCTTCCCCCTGTTCGTTCTCTTGTTCTTCTTCATCGTCTTGATTATTATGAGTCATATGATTATTTTTACTAATAGGATTCAATGGCAATTGAGGAGATATCTGTGTACGTTGCTGATGTACATCAAGAAGCGATGTCATCGGTGTTGCTTCTTCACATGATGCTTCAAATATAGTTGATAGCATATTTTCTTGTTCTTGCTGTACCATCATTTGTTGTTGTTGTTGATGATTTTGAATTAATTGATGAAATGCAGTTATATATGAATCTTCAGATTCATCATCATGCGACATACGATTAGATGGACGTTCATCGAGTGTCTCATTATCGGTTATATTTAATGGTTGAATATCATCATCAATATTCCATTCATGATCATTGTTATCATATGAATCTTGATGATGAGATGAAGATCGACTGGGCACCTAAACGAAATTATTTTATAGAGTTAATCATTTGAAAAAAAACGAATATCAGAAAGACTGTTCTCTGTGCTATCTATAATACAAAAAGTACAACTCATCAAGGTAGTTTATCGTGCCAAAAGTTTTGTTCTCATTATATTTGGTATTGTTAAAAGAACATTCAAGTTTACTTTATATGATGGATAGTGTTGTTGTGATAGTGATGCATCAGATTGATTAGTTCCATTTTTTGATGTTAAAAATAGATCACGTCTAGAAATAGAAATGAATTTATTTTTTTTTCTAAAATTAAAATTCGGATAGAATCTCGCACATTATCTTATGAGTGAGATGATTTATATTTATGACTCATAGCAAATGCGAACTGACGGAACATTTAAATATTATTATCTCTATGTAGTTATGTGTTTTGATTAGAATAGAATTCAGTTCTCTTTTCTTTTATCTAGCTTACAATTTAGAATTTTCACTTTTATAACCTGCCTTATATTTAGAATGCCTGCTGATAATTTCTATCAGACAAAATAAAGTTCTTTCATTACACTTTATAAGGGAAGTGCATATTAAAACTTTTTGACTTCGTTCAAGTTCTCTTTATTAAAGGACAGATATAAAATTAAGTGTAGTGGAATTTTAATTTACCGTGCCGAATTTTGCACTCGGGAAGATACATCTTGTTGAGGTCGATTTGGAATTTGCTGAGATAATAATTTAGCCATGTAGTTAGACTAAACAGAAGACATATATTAATATTGATTTCATTTATTTCATAGTGAAAAATGTAGTATTAAATTTTTAATTTCCTATGAGATGATTATTGTATTATTTTACGATAGATTATTCTAAGTGGATAATCAATTTTTTTGTTTAACAATAAAACTTGTAGTAAACAACTTACTTCTTCTTCTTTCAATTTTTGCAGCCGCTTTTGATAGTCTTCCGTTTGTTTTTTACCTACTTCATCGTGCATTCGTTTGATTGAAGCGAACCTAGTTGAGTAAATAAAATTCTCTAAAGTAAATAATTATTCAATAAATCAGATCATAATACTTTTCAAAGATAGCATTTCGATCAAGTTCACTATCAGATGCCATTACATGCTACAAAATTGATTTGCAATTGAATTTACTCGAAAACCACAAAATAGAAAAAAAGTAAACAAAGCTTTAAATAATTCAGCCATAGCTCAATTGAGTTCGTTGCTGTAGTTATAAGGACTTCAATTTTATTATAGTATTTATCCAAAAAAATTAATTTTGATCAACACCTATACTTTAACATGCAGAATCTTTTTCCAAAGGGAAACTAACAATTTATTTTAAATATTAATTTCTTCCTTGATTTGTCAATCAGCGCCATCTACCGAACGAGTAGCTATGAAATGAAATTGATGTGTTATCTTTTTAGATAAGTATGTTGCTACTCTTAATTTATTTTTCTCACTAAAAAAAGAGCACACCACTTCAAAATTTTAACCAAAATGCCATCAGATTTAAGTGGAGGTACTTAAAAAAATGAATAGTTAATAGAGTAATTTATTTTCTATCGGATTTTTAGGTATCATTCCAACAGCGTATCGGGATCTATTCGAAATGATTAATTCGCATGGATTGGAAAATTTAACATTTACTATATTCTCAGCTTTGTTTGAGTCGAAAGCATTGACAAAAGCCATTTTAAATCAAGTAAATTAATTGAATAGATGAGATATGTGTTTGAGAAATCACAGTACTCTTGTTAATTTTGTTAAGATTTGGTATACGGTTACTCATTCAAATTCAATAGGTTCACGCACTGACTTTTACAAATGTTTGGCATTAATGGCACTTGTTCAACAAGGCAAAGCAATTGATGAGAAGCTACTGGACAATTACGTAAATCGGGGTATCATATTTATTTTTACTTATGATATATAAGGAAGATTAGAACGAGTTCATTTCGTTATTGTAGAACTACCGATCCCTGCACTCGATAGTGTAACTGATTTAGAAGATCGTTTAATTCGTCTGCTTCGAAATGACCAAAAAAAAACTACGCTCTGTTTTCGTTATAATGATCTTTGCATTCTTGATACTATTCAAGTGGATAAAGTACCTGAAAAGAAAGGCAACAAACATTTCTTTTTAGCATTAAAAAAACTTCATTTTCGATCGAATACATTTTTTTAGGTATCATTATACGGCACGTTGAATACGATATTACGAGTATGGTATGCATTTAAGTTTTTTCATCGATATAGATTATCATTGCTTTCTTGTTTGTTCAACTGCGATAGCGTCTTAGAAATAAGGTTTCACGGCGGTACAATGACTTTTTTATGTTACATGAACTATTGACCTCAAAATATCCATATCGAATAATACCTATACTTCCACCGAAGAAAACTGTGAATGGTCTCGTTGTGTTTCGCTTGAGCTGCTTTGATTCAATGAGATGATTTTAAAACGAAAAATTGCTCGTGCTGATCAATCTGTTTTTTCTATTATTAGTAATTTGTGTACGTCATAAATACTTCAATTACTCAACTGTTCATATTTTTAGTTGACAGTGAGTTTCTTGAAGAACGCCGTCGTTCATTACAACGATATCTTCAAATTTTATGTCGACATCCAGCTATCTACGATACAGATATTATAAAATTTTTTCTAACTTTTCAAGGAAAAGTTGGTATCTCTGATGGAAATAGAATAAATTCTAATTAATCATTTTCGTCTTTGTTCATTTTTATCATTAGTCATGTGGTGATAATATGAAAGCAACATATAAAAATGATCTCGATGAATACAATTCTGAATCCGGATCCTCATCGAATTCTATGGATAATAATGAAGTAATTTATAAAAGTTCAACAAAAAAAAAAACTCAACTATTTTTATATTGTTTTCATAGAAATCCCCAGAAGATTCTGATGGTATACAAATGTTTCATAGGAGTCAAACACATATCTTATTTTTACATCAACATTTAAATCAAATTCGTGGATATTTAAAAAGTATCAATGAAAAAAATTTTAAAAACGCCAATGATTTTTCAAATATTGAAAAAACTTTACAGTTGAAATATTAATTTTTCTGTTAACATTAGAAATAACTATGTTTTTTTCTTGTCTGTTCTTAGAACACTAGGTTCCGATTCAACAAACGTCGACCGATGGGCGACAGGTCCCAATGACTATTGGCCAACAATTCAAACTGGTCTCGGAAGTTTACCTATTGAAGTAAATGCTATTTCCGAACGAATGAATGAACAATTTAAACGTAATGATCAAGTTATCAGCGAGCATCTAGATATGTTAGTTGATTTACTTCAAGGATATAAAGTAAGAGCAGATATTCTTGTATTTATCACGGGTTCAGTTTTCTCTTTAGGACTTATGTAAACGATTTGAAGAAGCATTACAAAATGAGAAAAAAGCTCTTCAAAAAGCGAATAATCAACAACAACGTTCATCTACAGCGGCCAGTACATCGTCCAAGGTAGAAATCTATTTGATAGACTTCTGAAATGAATCGCTGAGACATTTCGAGAGTAAAGACAAATCCATAATACGGATTTGTTTGTGCCACTACTATTGTTACTCAAAAATTAACATTGAAGATAGACCGATTTTTTGTGAAGCATTCGAATGATATGAAGTCTGTATTAGAACTTTTCAATTTCACTTTCTTTTTATTCGATGAATTTGTTTGTAAAAAAATGATCATTGGCGAGCGATTAGATTTGAAAATTTTCAAAATTATATTTGTTTTTTCGTTGTCTTTCGAAATATCAGAATATGAAGTCGAAGATTTATCTATTTCTAGAATGATACGAATCCTGATACAATTGAAAAACGTAATAGACATGCACTTCAATGTGTTCAAATGGAGACACAATTGGTTTATGCAAATTTAGAAGCATTTGTTTATATTCTAAGTAGCTTTGCCAATAGTCAGTGTAGCGGATCATTGGATGTAAGTTATACTTATGAAACGAATGAACTATGCTTTCATTTAATTTTCTTTTATTTAAGCTTGCCAATATTTGGAAAGCATTTGCGAATAAAGTGTCTCAACTTGGACAAACTTATACGACAAAATCTCCCATAGATCGATTGAGAAAATAATTTTAAAAACAAAATTTCAATACAATTCAATGCACTTTTATTTCGTTTAAAAGATACAATATATTTTGATTGAATGTAAAGTTAAAAATAAAATTTTAACTTACAAACATTTAAGTTTCATTATTTTTACTCTGTTCGCTGAATAATTCCATCCAACGGGATATTAAAAATTCCGGCGAGACAAATGCTTGCTGTTGATGTTGATTATTACTTGGATTATTTGGCATTCTTTTATATGCTAAACCAATATGACGATTGAAGTAATTATCTTGATTACTTGATGCTATCATATTAATATGATTAATAAAAAGGATAAAGAAAATTAAATAGCAACACAACCGCTGAGCCATAAGAATTGTTAAATCTTAAAAGAGAAAAAGTCCTAGGAATCATTTATGGTTACACATTTATTGGCGAAAAATCACGACGCTCTTATCGATCGACTATATGAGCCTTCACTATTGAAGAATTTCCTGGTTGGGAAATTTCAGGATTGTCTTTTTCCTTTTTGTGCATCATTCAACAAGATGAGCGCATTGAAGAAATAGATTTGAGTGTTTGCAATAGTCTTATATATATATACTTATCGTCTATTGTGCTCATTTTGATTATATTTAAATCACGCACATACAGACTATTAATGGCCTCATGTGATATCTATGTACTTGTGTCTTGTCATACAACTCAAGAAATACAATTTGATAATAGAAAAGCACAAAGGACCTACCCGTGTTTATATTATCTATGAATGGAAATGATAATAACATCAATAAGAATCATATTGAATTATGACATGCACAAGGCTATTCATACTATAGATCTCCATGCACTGACATGACAAAACATAGATCTTATAGATAACATTATATATGTCATTGATCAATACCATTCTTTTTTAATACGATTTGACAGCAGAACAAATTGCAGCTGGTGAATCTTTTATGTTTGCACGTTGAGAAACATTCCATTAAATCATTGAAGGACAAATACTCGATGATCAATGCATCGGTCGAACTTCACGCATGAGCATTAAAATAGTCACACACTCCGAAGTTTAACTCAGCATAATCTTTTTACAGATTCATGATTGTTCATATTCAATCAGTTATTCGTTTGAAAACGTTCTCGTCGTTCAATGAAATCAATACTACTGAGATGATCATAACCTGAAAAACTGCTACTCGCAGTCTTCATGTTCATAGTAGTACAACACGGCTATTTTTCTTTGAAGAAAAACTCCGATATATGTTTTCATGTTTTTATTATCATGCATCTTTAGTATAATCAATATAATAAAAAAAATATCTTCCAAGACTAATAGATGTGTTTCTTTCTGTACAAAAAATGGCAATATATTGAAACAAAAAAAACTATATAAGATTAATATCTGATCAATGTTGCACAGGTTCGATATGTTTGATTTCTTCCATTAAACGTCGTCCGTGTGACGACCAATCTACGTCACTAATACGCATACATGTAAATCGAATTCTTCGTTCGTCCTAACACAAAAATAAGTCAAATATTTTATAATTAATAAAATTCTAATTACGTTAAAATGATCGGCCTTCGCACGAAGTTTAAAAATTCGTTCACGATTTGTTGTTTTTCGAAAAATATCATCGATAATATTTTCATTTTGCTACAAAAATCAACAATAAAATTGAATCACTTTTTCTTAAACAATAAATATATTTACATTAAGTTTATGATTGCCAAATTCATCAGCTGTCATACCAAGTAATGATTCTGCTTCATTACTAAATGCACTAATCCATTGAGAACCAGTAGCATCGGAGATTTCAGCCTAGAAAAAAAAGAGCAATTCCGAGTCCGGAATGGAACAAAAATTCCTCAAAAAATAATATTAGACAAAAACATGAGCTTCTGCCACCGAAATGAGAGACTATCGGATGAGGGCGAACTCCAGATCAAAGCCTTTATCAAGGTTCTTATTCTAATTTTACAAAAAAAAGAACGGAGATTTAATACATACGGCAAGCATATAAGACCATTTGTAACTGGTATATGTTTTATTACATTTTTCACATCTGAACGATCCATTATTTTCATCTATAACTTTTTTCCCGCATTTTTCCTGTGGACACATCTGTAAAATAAACAAAAACGCATGTTTATTTTAATCATCTCACTAATTTGTCCTATTTACCATATAAACAGCTGAATCTTTTTTAATTAATGTAATAATACATTTCACATTGATATAATCAGGTTTATCATTTAAACCAATACCTTCAGCAGTGATCTGCGCGAGAGTTTTAAATGGTGTTTGTTGATTTCCTATATCAGCTCCTTTTGATAAATCAGGTAAATCCATTGATTTTCCTTCTTTCTCAAACCAAGTATGAAGTTCCATTGTACGAGAAGTTTCCGTTGGATCTTGGGATATCAATGTTGAAGTCACTGTCGATAACGTTCGACCATTAAAATCACCAATGCGAATTCCTTTAAAAGCAACAACAGGATTTGATGAAACTTGAAATTCTTCTGCCTATCAAGAACATAAAGTTTCATTCTTTTTTTCGTTTCCTAGTTCAATAAATCTACTTGTTTTCCCCATAATGTTGCTGTTATTGAAGCATTTTCATCAACCAACAGTATATCACGTTTAGTAAATTCTTTTTGTGATGTTTTACTTATAATGGTATCTAAATCAGCGGCACTTTTTGCAACACCGATTACATCTAAAAAATAATTCAATATAAATTTTTGTCTTCAATGACTATTTTGATATCTACCGCAAATGGTACTAGGTGCTCGATTGGCTACTTCACTAATTGGAATGAAATTAAATTGCACTTTGGGAATCGAATTGCCGTCATCGTCTTCACACAGTTCGATACATGTATCATGATTAAATGCCATTTCATAATCATGTTTTAAAGAATTAAATTGTCGATTGACAGGCTTAAGCGATGCTCGAGATATATAATAAACTTTTCCAACTTCAAGCATTGCATGTATTTTATCACAATCAGCATTAAAAGCAGCTGCACGAATTTCACCTGATTGATCCACAAGATCACAATTAAATAATTTTCCTGGACCACGTGCATTTTGATAAGTTCGAATAGCACCCTTGGTGCTTACTCGAACTTTTATTGTCCATCTAAAGATAAATGATGAGTTGAATTATATTTTTACGAAAAACAAAATTAACTTGTTAGTATATGGATTTAATGTATCAATACTCATTACTCGATCTTTGTCAATAACATTGCCTCCTTTCGCAGATAAACTATTATTATGGCTATTTGAATTTTTTGCATTATTTCGACCATCGATTGTTGGTAAGACGTTCGAATCTTGACGAATAACATTTGTAGCTGGAGGTACTAGAAAAAAAGAAGTAACCAAACGACACATTTCACATATTGATCAAATAAAGAAATAGCTCAAGCAACTCTTGTGCAAGAATTTAGCTGAGTTTTATAAACTGTAGGTATCGAATGATTAATAGGCTGTGAGATTTTCACACTCAATTAAAAATGCATCGAATACGAAAATTATTAGACCTATTGTATACAAGATTTCTTACCTAGAGTTGTTGCTGGTTGGAAATTATCTGTTGCCTCTAAAGTATTTCTAATAAAATATTCCGTCATAAAATTTTTGAAATTTCTACCGAAACGATTTGCATTACCGCCGGCATTATTAATAATATCAGTCAATGGTAAAGCAACAGGGTCACCAATTCGTTCACTGTCACTTTGAATAACTTCAAGTTCATGAATCATCAGCATTAATCTAAGAAACTAAAATAAAAAAAATTTCAAGTTTGAAAACTATTCACTCACCTTCCATTTTGTTTATCAATTGCATTGACCATCACACGATCAATACGAACAATTGCATTTTCTTTTAAACTATTTGCTTCAATTAATCTATTCAGTTGTGTACCAAGCATACATGCTAAATACATTCACGCTCGATTATTTAAACGTTATTAAACCTATGCAATTCTTACATGAAAAGGTGCATCTGCCATCGGATAGCATAAGACGATAACGTTTAGTAAGTGCTGATGCATCATCAACTTTACTATCAATTGTTTTTATACCCTAAATAAAATAAAATGAAATTTCTTTGAACCATCGTTAATTAAACACGTACAACAACTTGTAATATTGCCTTTTCCTTATTATTTCCACGTAAATATCTCTAAACAATACTATCATAAATCAACATTTCAAAAAAAAAATCTTTTTTTACCAGGAGTGCACCAGTTGTAAGTCGTTGGTTTGACATATTAAATTAATCTGGAATAAATACAACATACAACATTATTATTATTATTAAATAACAATTGAATTTTTAAAATTATTTAAAACAAAACTTTAAAAAAGACTAAAATTCCTTTCGAAGATTATGAATTAAGCGATGACCATATTCACTAAAATCAACATCACTCATTGATACACACGAAATTTTAATCAATGTTACATCCTAAAAAAAACAACAAACGTAAGAGAGTATAATAACAAATGATTGGTCATTTTTATCGGTGAAATGGAACATAAAAAGCGTTGTTATCAATACATGATTAATTCTATTCATTAGAACGCGTCCACATTCTAGTTCGATAAAAGCCAGATAACCTTTTAAATATGTAATCCAAAAGGTTAAATCTGGAATCATGTAGAAATCATCTGACATCTTTAATTACTGTTCAACTCGATGACATGGAAATGCGATTGAAGTTTTTTCCCTGCTATCGACACAATCTGAAGGTTAATGACGCCTACGTGATGATTTAATCTATCAACAAGACGAGACCACGGCACATGAGGAATTATTGTTTTAGATATTAACATGGGCATTTTCCCTCTACGTAAAACGTCTATAATACCGTATCAGTACAGACTAAGTCAAGTAAATACGGTTGTACAACGACGCCTACTAAAACGTCAATGTACAGCTGTTGGCGGCTTTATATTGTATAAAACGATAGGATAAGTCCCACGCTTCGCTCTTAGATAGGTTTCTCATAACATTAGAATGCGATTATTATTTACAATGATCTGTGATAATAGCAAAAGAACGATATGCATTTTCTTCTACAAAAATCGCAGATGGCCATTAAATCGTTCCTGATCTCAACGTATAGGAGTAGTATGCGCTATTTTGAATACTTTGGAACAAAACAATAAAGGTAAATGCTATTCATTTTGCAATTTTTCTTATACAACTTGAAAAAAAGAAAGGACCATCTATTGTATAGATTGACTTTTATATTTACATTAAATGTTTCTTCATTGATTCGTAAACGAAAATTTTTTTCGCGAAATGCATTTTTATTTAAATACGATTGCATAAGAACTTCATCACCCTAATAAAAATCGAAGATTATTCGCATGACAAGCATCTATTTCAATAATTTACCTTTTCTTTTGCTTGAGCAAATTGTTTAGCTGGTATATTTCCCATCAGTTCTTCTGCTTGTTGTCGAAAGAATGACACCCATATTGTGCCAGTTGAATCAACAAGTTCAGCCTAGATATTTAGCATTATTATTCATCCTTAAATTAAATAAACTTACACGAAGCATGTAACTCCAATTACATTCATTAAAATCTTCTCGACATTTATCACAATGATAAAGACCTGATGATAATTTATTTACTTTTCGAAAACAATCAATTTTGGGACAACTCTACAATAAAAAGAAGCAAAAATTAGCTATTTAAAAATTTTTAAAAGACAAACCGTATAAACAACTCGATCATCAGCTATATGCATGCATGTCGCTTTTACCATCACATAATCAGAACGGCCTTGTCGGCCAAGTTGTTCCTTTTCAATTTGTTGAACTGTTTTCCATGAATCTTAAAAATCAAATGATCAATTAAAATAAAAACTTGAATTCGATAGTTAACCTTCTTTTGTTACAAAATTATTTGTTGCTTGGCTATTGATTGTATTACCACCAGCCTCGTACCATATACGAAGATGTTTTGCTTGTCGGATATTAGGATTAATTTTCATTATCATATTCTTATGACCAGATAAGCTATATTCTACAGTAAAATCAAATTTTAGCTTTTGTTTTGTAAACATTTATTTATTTACTATTATTAAAAATGGCTACTCGAATACGATGAAATGCAACGACAGTTTTATTTTCTGCCAACTCTTCACTGAAATCTTTTGCCTAATAAATTGAAATTAATGTTTTGTCGAAAACCAATGTGAACAATGTTACTTGTTCGTCCCATAAAGTTATTGAAATACTCGTATCTTCATCCATGAGAGTTACTTCTCGACGAACTGAATCTTTATTTGATGTTCGATTAATAAATGGAATTATGCCGGAGCAGGTATCAACAATACCAATCACATCTTGGGAATGAAGAAAAAACAAAATTTTCTGAATCAATCAAAAGTTAATTTTACCAATGAATGATTCATTAGAATGTTTGGAAATATCTCGAAGTGGAACAATGTCATAGTGAATATCCGGAATACTGCCGTTGGTTGCTTCATCATTAATTAATCGAACAACAGAAATGGGTGATAATATTAATTCATAATTATGACGAAGATTATTCCATCGTTTATCGACTGCTTTCACTCGGACGCCCGAGATTTCATAAATCTTTTAACAAAGCGTATTTTCATTTTTGTTTTTGTTAGGAAAAAACTTCTACTTTATCAACTTCAATAATCGGATGAAATCGACCACACTCATCACGAAAAGCAACCATACGAATTTCACCACTGGCATCAACAAAATCAAAATCACATACAGGATGTGGTCGTATAGCACTTTTAGTGAAGCATCGTGCACGAACTTTCCATCTGAAATTTTGAAAAAAAATCGATTGAATTTTCTCTATGAAAAGATTTTCGTTTAACACTAACGTTCCATTTAAATATGGTGTTATCATTTCAATGGGAATTATATTGCTATTAGATGCAGTATTATTTATGGTAGGCATCGATGCTTGTTCTAATATAGTTAAATCAAGTATTACTAAAAATGATCTGAAATCGAGTTGAATTGTAGATTTTCATAATACGAAAAGTAGAATATTACTTTCCAGTACTTGTTAAATCATGAGCAACGTTCTCTAGTTTGACGATTGAATTAGCGCGCAACCGGCTTTCCTTAATTAACTTGTTTAGGTCGGGTTTTAACAGACAAGCTAAAGAAAATGAGAGATTTTCGTCGATGGCAAAAAAAAACGAATGAATAATTAACCATTAAATGTATCTTGACCATCGGTTATCGATAGTCGATAGCGTTCCACATTTGTTGCTGTTGTTGTGGATGCATCACACAGTCGAATATCCTGAATAATTAAAAGAAACAATTATTTTCCATGTGTTTTTTGTTCTCGGAAGGAGAAAACACTTCGTACGAGGACTTTGACAATTGCTGATTGTTGTGTATTACCATTTTGGTAAAGCTACAAACATATTCATCATGAATAATAAAAACTAAATTATAAATCATACAGCAATTGCTCCTTTCGTCAAAGTATTAGATGCCATTATAAGGAAGGCGCGAATCAATGAATATCTATTTTATTCGACGACAGGCTGGCTGCTTTTATGTCATAATAGAGGGCGTTGTCGTAAAATTATTTTTTACGAAAAATTTAAGTTAACGAATGGCAGTAATTCATCAGATTTACTTTTTCAATAAATTTGTTTTTGTTCTGTTTCACAAAATTCATTGTGTAATGAGTTTGTTATATGATTGGTTGATAGGGTCATACTTGTTTATTTTCTTCTGTCGCCGGTATGTTGAAATTATTTTTTTGCAGAAATTACCTCAGAGATGTTGTCATCGTCTGGTTCATGTTTGTATTTGTCATTTATCATTAGTCAACTATAAAAATCTACGTCGTAAACTCAATGCATCCCGGAGACCGACAAAGAAATGCATTGGTTTATCATTATGTATACAGGTGAACGGCGTGCTTGCCGTTTCAAAATTAATTAGTGATTCTATTAAAATTTCATTACCAAAATGGAAGTTTTATCTGAATCAACGAGAATTACGTCTTGAAAAACAACTCAGTCATTAAATGCAACGCTCTATGAAAGTCTGCAATGTAAAATTTCTAGTCACCTATTTATTTCCCAAATTCTCTTCGGCCTAATTCCAATACGCAGTTTACTAAGACAATTTCGTGAAGTACTACTCAGTGACATACAAAGCAGCTCGATAATGTCTCTCATATGCTAAGGTAAATTCTTCTTGATTGATAGCCAATAGTCAACGTACATTTATTTATTACCTATTGCTACACGAGTACATTAGTGCCAATAAGCGTAGTTAATCGTTTTTCATGGAGAAAAGCATAAAAAAAACAAAATTTCATCGATTGTTGATGACAAATTCATGTATAGACGATGTGACACACGATTCAATATCGTCAACAAATTAAGACAATCACATATAGGACAAGGATAGACGAATGGAAGATAACCTTGAATTAAAAACAATCTATAAAAAAAAACCTAAAATTACAATTTTGATGAAAAAATAGTGAAATAAAATACTTCACACAAATTTAAAGAATGGCTTAGTTTATTATAAAAAGAAGAGATAAAACCTTCAACGATAGGTCTATCCTTTCGATTTCTATTATTGTATTTTGAAATTGCAAATGTCATATTAAAATCTAAGCTTAACTTCAATTTCAATGTTGAAAGAATTCTAATAAGAAATTACTTACAAATACATTTATATTTTTCAAAACAACAAAATTAGAGTGTTAGAACAGTTTATTTATAAGAATAAATTCTTCGAAATTCAAAAAACACATTGTTCTAAAGCAAACTCAAGTATTACGTCTATAACAGATAAGAATATTCTCTTGAGACATTATTAAACTGTTAGCATTTCTTATTGAAGAAAATGAAATAATCTTAGGAAGTCAATGCTAGAGAACTTTCACTTTACATTTAATAGATTAGAACAATAAAGAAGACTTCTAATACTCTTCTAGGTCTTCGTTCACTACTAATTGACTGTTCCTATCGTATTGATAAGTACAACACTCGTTTCAGTTCACAAGATAGTATTATAAATGCTTATCTTTATTTGCGACAATGTCAGCTGTTGCTTCATTAATATATTCATTTTATCGTAACGTAACAACGTCGAAGTTTAGAATATAAAGATTTGCAAATCATTTACGATCATTTATAACATATTCTTTGAAATACAGAATAAATTTATCTTTTTTGATTTCGATAATGATAAAGGTTATGAGACAAATAGTGACGATTTTGAAGAAAAAAAAAAAAAATTTTTCATCCTAAACATGTTAGCAAACAGTAAATACTTATAAATAGAATAAAAAGAACGTTTCTTTTTCTGATTATTCTATTAGATATCTAAATTCTATGTAGACAACAACAACAATAGCAATGATATTTTGTTTGTTGTTCGATATTTTTAGATGAATGCTCATCTACTAGATTTACCCGATGAAATACTTGAATTAATTGCATTTAACGTCATTGATGGACCGTGGATTGATGACGTACGACATTTTCTTTCGTTTACATCAACTTGTAAACGATTTTATCAATTCTTTTATGATGAAAGATTCTGGCAAAAATTAGCTTCACGACGTGATCCAACCAATGAAAAGCCTACAGAAAATACAACATGGCTAAATTATTGTCAACAAAGTAATGAATATTTATTTTCATAGGCATAAAAAGAACACATTGAAATCAATTCTTCAATCTAGTCTATCTTATGCGTACGATTCCTTCGAATGCACTTCGAGAGAATATAAGTCGATTTGACGATAATTATTATTGTACAATTGAAAAACTGATTATTTGGCCGGATAAAATACGCATTTATATCGATGAACGCGGCGATTATTCTCTCGGTTTGCTGTCTAAAGGAAAAGGATAATTTTTAACATTTTACTTTCAATACACAGGTCCAATTCAACATCCGAGAGACTCGATAGTAGCACTTGTTGAAAACGATTATAGCCAGATTCGTGATCAGGAAAAAAGACGAGTTTTTGAGTCTAAATTTTCCATCGCTGATGAAAATTCACGATATTTAGGTTAGTATGATATTTTTTTCTTGGATCAAAATTATCTATTTTGCTTTTTTAGGATATTTAGATTTTTCAATAAGTTTATCGTGTGATCCAGCTGAACAAGTACTGAATTTTCGGTACGGTTTCAATGGTTATAGTATTATAAAACTGTTTAAAATAGAAAAATCATTTATAGATAAATTTAATCTCCAACCTCTTATGAGAAGGCGTCAAAGTATTGTGTAAAAAATGTATTCTTTATTTTGATGAATAATATTTATTTTTGTATGATTCGATGTTAATGGAAGAAAAAAAATAACTAAGTACTTTTTTCGATATTTTTATTCGTTCCTTTTTTCTGTGTCTGACGACTCTGTCGACGTTTCGTTTTCGGTTATTTTTTCTTTTCCTTTTTCTTTTTTTTTCTTCTATTCATTACACTTCTCATCATAGTCACCTGGTGATACGAAAAGACAAATATTTCACCTTTCTATCTTTTCTTTTTTGTTTTGCATACATTTTATACGAGGAGCACAGAAGAGTCGACCCACTTTTTTTTCCACAACGCATTCACAAAGATGATGTGTGGAAGCGTTTGTTTGCTTAAGTCGTCAGCTGTCTCAAGGGCAGAAGGAGTATAGGTATGTATGCAGGCAAGTCTATCTCATTATTTTTTCTTTTTCAATCCTCAGTTTTTTTTATCTGTTAAAAAAAGCAACCAATGTAATGCTTTATATTAGCTTGGTTTTTCTTTAAAAACGAAAAGATATTAATTTTCAACTGAAATAACCGTGCACGCATGCGGTGCAATATGACTTCGACTCTCATCATTTATTTTTATTTTTCTTTCGTTTTTCTAGATTATGCTTAACTCTATACAGAAAACCTTTTCGAGCAAACGTTCTTCCGTTTTGTGGTCTGTCAAGAGTCGTACAAAAACACGCTCTTCATATCTTCTCTCCCGTCAAATTTCATTGCCAAACAATAAAATCAATCGTGAACAAAACTTTTCTCTTCAACATACATGTTCAATCGGACCATTAGCATTGCTGATGAATGAAAACCTATAACATCGATTGAAGCCAGCAAAATTATATTCGATAATAAATAAATTTTAAAGAGTTTATATTACAAAAAAAATTTTTTTTTCTTCTTTCTGTGTTCTATTCTATTTTTTATTAATTCCACAAATATGGCGACCAATGATGATCTTGATGATTTCTTTAAAAAGAAAGATCGTAAAGGACATAAAAATAAAAAACAATCCGGTTTATTAACTAATAATCAAGAATTACTTAAGCAATTAGGTAAATATAATTTATTCTTTTTATAATTTATTTGATGAATTATTTCTTCTAGAAATTGTCACATCGGCAACATCTGCATTTAAAGAAAATCTATATCTTGATGAAGACGATGAAGAATTACAAAAGAACGATGAACCCGTTCTTGTGGCAAGCCTAACTGAAGAAATTCGTAAAAATCCAATTAAATCTAATAAAAACAAAATTCCTGATAATACTAAAACTCTTCATGAACAAGAAATAATCAATTCTGAAGACGGACAACAAGACGAATGGGAAGATTTCGAATCGTCAGCTATTAAATATGAACAATTACGTTTAAAATTTGCAGCTGGAAATAATGATAATGACGATGAATATGATGATGATGAAAATAATCATAATGATAATGATCATAATAATGATACAGCTAGTGATCGTAATCAACAAAAAGATAAACCTGCTTGGAGCATTGATCAAAAGAATCAAGAAAAAGAAACAAATGTTCCTGTTATAGCAGAAAAAATTGTTGAAGATCGACCAGCTCCAGTAAAACCAACAGCAGCCGGAGCTTATCGACCGCCAGCATTACGTGGTAATTCGTCATCAGTTACCGTTGTTAGCGGTAACCCGCAACGAGTGGCAAAAAAGAAAGAACCAAATTTAGCTTCAACCGATGAATTTCCAACGCTCGGATCAGCTGTTCATAAAAAATAATTCGTAAACTTTATCCCCTTTTGTCCTTTAGTATTTCCTTTGAACGTCATTGGCATAATTTTCTTTTTTTTTCTAATTGCTTCGTTTTTTTCTTCTCTCTTTCTCTCTCTCTCTCTCTCTCTCTCTCTCTGGTTCTATTTTGTTTGTTTTTTTTTCGTTATAAAAAAAGGAAAAATTTCGTCTTTGTTGTTCAGCTTTAAACATGAAGTCTATTGCGTTGGTTTCTTTTGAGCTTCAAGAATACTTTTATATAGACGATCGCGGACTATATTTGCTTCGGTCCAGCGAGCAAGCCAATCTTTTCTTCGACGATTTGGATTAAATTTGTTATCATCTTGAAGATCTTTAAACAGTTCTTGATTATGAACAGTTTTTGAATGACTCTGACGTTGTACCGGATTACCATGGGCAACAGTATATCGTAAATCATTGCTTATCTTCGTATAATCAGAATTCGATCTTGTAAGAGTTGTTTGAGATCGATGATAAATCGGTGTCCGTTGTTTAGTATTAATAGATTCTAAAGTATGTTTATCGTGTTCAACTTTATTTTTATCTGCTAGAAGTTCATCTGTAATTTTTGATCGAAAACGATGACGAATATTTTGAGGAACTTGATAACCATTTACATCAGTATAATAATCGCCATCATCGATTATTATATCTTTACTATGGCTTGACATAGAACTCATGTTGCTTTAAAAATAAAATAATGTTTTGATAGCTAACAGAAGTCTTTAGCCATTGATTTGTTGTTTGTATTAGCATTACTATTGACATTTCTTCGTTTTTCTTCCATAAACTTTACCAACAGATGGTGCCAGTGATCAGCTTCATGCTGTTATTTCAGAGATTTGAATCGAAACTCATTTAATTTAAGATCATAATGCACTTTAACTTATGATACAGTCAGATACAGAGTGGCCAGATCTTCTGAAAAGTAGGGGAAAATTCTGAAATTTGCATGAGATGCCTAGTTCAAATTCGAATACAAATGGACACCCAACTGCATGGTATCAATTCGAAAATAAGTAATAGAAATAGATTTAGTTTTAGATGGTGTGAGTTGAGGGGGGCTAAGGGGTAATTGTGGATGGCAGTGCGAGTGAGGGGTACCCAGAATGGGAGCGGGATATCTGAGATACTTCAAAGGGGGGGGTGCGGGTATCCGGGGTGGTGCCTGGGTTGTATACTTTGGAACGTGGGTGTGGTTGTAGGGGTATATATGTATTCATATGTCGCATATATCGAAAAGTTAAATTAAAACCAACTCTATTCCTAGATTTAGTTTTAGTTTAACTTTTTATTTTCTCCATTTATATTCGAACTCGTATTTGGCAGCTACTCCTTACCGATGCATATAAATACTTCTGTTGGCGTTGAATATATTGACATAGGAATTATTACCGTTAGAATAAAACTTTATTTATTTCGTAAGAGAAATTCTTTGAAATTCTGTTAGATAGATTTCCTTGCAAAACAAATCCTATTGTATGAAGAATTCACTGTCATGAGTTATTATGTTTAAATGATAAAGAACTATATCAAAATCGATTACACAGTTATTATGCTTGATTATTGACACAAGAACAAGTTTGATTATTCTTTTAGTAGAATAATCAAGGAAGGAGAATTCGATATGCATATATTTGACCAAAACGACTAGGCGGATTATTTATTATAGGTTTAGTCTCTTGTATATATTTAACTGAACGTAAGTTATTTGAAACTTCTCTGCTGACTCAACATAAGTAAGCTGTTAATATGATTAAACATTGTAATGCGTTTCGACAATGTATACTCTTGTCATGGTATATTTTCTTGATTTTAATCGGTTCATACAAAATTTACAGTGAATTATTCGACTATTGGTACTATAACACTTATACTATCGTATTGAGATCTTTGTTTCGTTTGCGAATCTTTAAAAAAATTCGCTTAAACAGTCAATGACGCAACCATTCTCGTGAATACTCTTAAATAATTGATAAAAACGAATGGCGTAATACTATTTATTGTCGCTATCAATTCAAAATGAATATGAAACAAATTATTCACTTTTCTTTCACGACTTTTGTTCCCTAGGGCTCGTCGAGTGTGTTTGATCTTGATTGCGATTCAGAGATTCACGGAGACATTTTTTACCTATTCGTTTTTTGACAAGAGTGTTTTATCACATCTTAATTCTAATCACAAAATTTAAGTAGTGCTGATTGATTAATGATCTTTAACATAGAAAAGATAATCTTCTTTATGTCTACTCGCCTTTCTTCTTTCCGTGAGTATCCCGTGTATTAATCTCAGCAATAAACATTCTATGTAGACCGAGCGACGGTAGTAAATAACGAGCAAAACAAGAGTGCAATGAGCCAAACTCACGTAAATATGCAATATATTGTTGAGTCTACGCGAGAATACCTATACATATGGATAGAAAAGAAAAAGAAAAAGAGAAAGAGATGGATGATGATGCTCCACAGAACTGATAGTAGCGACCGACAACTATTCAATGTCAAATGTTCATCCATGTTTTTCTTCAGCTCGGCTAAAAACTGCTGGATGTTCTTGTTCTTTTCTTTCTTGTTCTTTCGTTCTTCAACCATATGTGGTGTAGCTGAGACGTATTCTCTAGTAGTATTTTTTTTCTTTTTTCTTCCTTTCTCTTATTCTTTTTTCCTTTTACTACTGCCCATCCATAGAGTAAGCCTTGTCACCATTGTAAAAGAACTACGAAGACGTCAAGAACAAAAAAAACTGCTATTCTACTTTTTTCTTCTGATTTTTTTTTTCTGTGTTGGTATGCGTACAAGTGTCGTTTGGACGTTTCGACTGCATAAAAACTCAGTGTGACTTTATATTCTCAATCAGCGTGCCGTACTTCAAAGTCGTGTAATATATGCCATCCATTCTATTTTCTGTGGTATTTTTATTTTTAACAAATTTTTTTATTGAACCAACAACATGTGCTATTCCTGCTTACATACAAAATCTTGAACTCGATGATATCACATCAATCGTAGATAAATTTCCGGCAATCCTCACTAAAATCAAAGAGGCTGGTATGTCATTTAAAACAATAACAGTGCCAAGGTCATTTACGTCCTTGAAGAGAACTCCCACATCAGTACGTCAAGAATAAGGTTGTCTGAATAATTAATAAATAAATCAATATATATATATATCTTGAATTGATGAACCCATTTAACCAATGTTTTGTTTTTATAAAAAGAAGGAAATCTTCGGGTTTCTTTTCAATTGTTGATAGGTTCTGTAATTGACATTATATGAGTACAAGAGAAAAAATAGTATGAAAAATAAATACTTATAGACGATAGATAAACAGGATAGATGACTATCGGTTATTTACGTTTTGATAATTTTTTTTCTATACAGTTGAATCAATAGTGACGAATCTACTCGACAATAATCTGAATAAGATAATATTGTTATTGAAATGTGACAGATCATACTAGACTATTTATTGTTATTGTTATCTTAATCTGATTTGTCTATTTTTATGAAATACATGACAAAAAAGAAAGAAGCCTCTAAGAAACATTCTTTGGTTTTTAATTAGGTAGATGATACAGTAGAGACTTGGAATGCACTACTACTTATCATAACCATTGCCTTTCCTAGTGTGACAGAAGCAAAAGCTGTTTTTCATAGTCTACATCATTAAGTCTTAAATATCCAGATGCTATGATTTAGAGTATATCTAATCGATAGCGATTGTTTACTAAGATAATTTCTTTTCTAGTCAATCGATTTCGATGTCCGAAAGGTTGGAGACGTTTAGGTGGCTCGTGCTATTATTTGTCGGACGTAAAATCAATAGCAGCGCATGCTAATGATACATGTAATCTTCTACATTCGAATCATTCAAATTTAATGCAAATCCGTAATTCAATCGAATTATTTTATGCAGCTCATATTCTAACGAAAAACAATCTATCATCATTAATTATTGAAATCGATCCTGATTTACTTAAAGGTAAATGTCATTAGCAATTGAATATTTATTTAGAAAACCAGTCAAATAAAACTCTATTTATTTATTTATTTATTTTATGTACTAGGTAAAACGATTACAGACATTTTAATGAACGATCAAGGTCGATGGCAACGTATGAAAGATAAATTTCGTCAGATGCGTATTCGTTATTATAAATTAAAAGAAAAAATCCTTCATGAACTAGATTCAGCTGGTTTACGTATATCGAGACGTTCGAAAAAAATGAAAAAAAAAGTAAAAATCTATCAAGAAAAATATGTACACGATCCGAATGCATCCGATAATGATTATTATGATTATGAAGAACAAAATATAACGATTTCTACAACTTCTAATGATACACAATCTATCGATGAATACGAATATGATGACCTTGACTCGGAAGATGATGCTGATGAATTCGAACAATTCGACGATGTTGGAGGCATCTGCGATCAAGTCGATTGGAATGTTCTAAATAATGATTCGACAGTTTATGTTCTAACAACGTATTTAATAGCAAATAAAATAGTTTGCTCATTAAGCAATATTGAGCCTAATGTAGAATATGACCACGTCTGTGAATATGGTTTGTAAACTTTGATTAAAAGAAAAAAAGGAATATTTTCTTTTTGATTATTATCTAGTACTCGATTTTTGCTTCGCAAATATTATGTGCGGCACACACGGACGATGTGTAAATACATTATCGGGTTTCAAGTGTTCCTGTTCGTTTTTGTATGGTGGCCTTATATGTGAACGAAGTAAGTGTTAATTTTTTATTGCGCAAAAAAACGAGAAACTTTTTTTGATTAAACTTGATGCTTACAAACTCGAAATTAAGTAAATAATTCGAACTGCTGAGTCTCATAGCAGGAAAAAAAGCATCTGGCATTTATATGGTAACATGTGTTTAAATACTCTTCAGTCGTCTGTGAATTTATTTATTTTAAAGGCTATAAAAATAAAATATTGTTGTTGATAAAAACATTCGAATAGAAACTGATAGTTGTGTGATCAGTAATCAGTTGAGTCAATGTTTAAAAAAGTGCATGTGCGATTGCATAAATTGAACTCTTCGATGATGTAATCGAAATTGCTCATAATTAGATTTCAAATATCGGGTTCCATCACGTAATATTTTGAGCCTACGTGTTCTTTTATTCGATAGTTAAAAATACGCTCAAAACACTTTTGAGTAAGTGACATATTGCTTTATATGCCGCGTCCTTTAACTTCGAAAAATCACGTAACAAATAGAAAATCATTTTTAAATTGCATTTATTTCAATAACTGACTCGATGCCTAAAGAAAAGATAACAACTTATTATGAAAAAGAATAAGAAACATTGTTTATTTGCCTCGCGGAAAGTTGCGACCTTCTTGCCAACAGATTTGCCCGTAAATGAAATATTGAATTATTACAGTTTTATTTGAAAAAAAAAGAAAACGATCATTATCGAATTCATTCTATTTTCTATTTTGTATAGTCTCACGACAAGGCTATCACATTATTGTTGGTGCTTTTCTTGTTATTTTGCTCTATGGATTATCACTAAAGCCAATTCGATGGACACTAAAACTTATTTTTACAACAACAATGGGGTAAGTGGTGTCTTCATTAATGGGAGTGATGTCGATTTCTAGATGCAAGACGTATAGGTTTTAATAAAAAAAAGTACGATTTAAATGATAGATCTAAAACAAAAATGATTCGTCTTTCGAATCAAGGACAAGATACAAACATAAATTGATCCTTGCATATGTCGCCATAGACATCAGCGTGTAAATCATATCTACTTTGTATCTTGATCTAATCAAAAAAATTTTCGATAAAAATGAATCCATTGTTGTAGAGAAAGAAAAATAACAAATGAGTGATCCTATTTCTTCGCACACGTCATTTCATTTAAAAATCTCATTTTTTATTTTTCTATTGTGTCAAATAGTTATTGCAAATCGCGGCCTAAGAAAAGAAAGAGCAGAGAATCAGAAGACGACATTGATGATAAAAAAGTCTTGGTGCCTACAATAACGTAACTATGAAAACCTTTTCTAATTATAAATTACCTATGATAAATTTTATTGTTATAGAAAAGAAGATGTTGACGAAGAAAATCCTAACAATGAAGAAAAACAAGAACAAGAACAGGAGAATCTTGATGAACGTCGGCAGAGTATCGCTGAACAAATCTGGGATTTTATGTAGGTTACCGTTTTATTTTTCTCTATTTTATCAAAAATAAAATATCTTTTTTCACACAATTATTTTTCAAAATAATAGGCAAGAATTATATCATTGTATAACGTAGGCAAACTTTCTTAAACTACTAGTTTAAATTTAGCTGTGAACTCTGATCATAATACAAAGCTGTTTGATCTTGATTGAAAAAAAGCTCGACGTAGATAACATATCTATTAGATCTCTTCATTAGATTGCTTGATTTTTCGTGATTTCTAGCATATCTCTATTTCTTTAGCGCCCCAAAAACTCTCGATCCATTGAAAAATCCAACTAAACGTGATCTTGTTCGAACCATATGGGTTAGTGGATTAGCTATATTTTTTCTGTTATTATTATATTTTTCAACAACATTAATCCATTTTTCATGGTTTAAATATGATATAACTGATGATACGAAATTAGAATCGTTGGTCAATGAAACCATTCGTTTAGTATCACATTGTGAACGTATATCGAATTCTCGTCAAGGAAATTTAGTTTTTTTTCCTATTGCACTTACTTTAATCATCATGTTTTCATGGTCAGTCAAGCGAGAAAGACGATGTTTAAAATTGTGCGATGGCCGACCAGGTATTGAATATATTTGAATAGCTAGTTATTTTTCTACTTGATTATTTATTCTCAGGTATGATACCACCAATCGAACCATTTCGCACATCGAATCGTTTTACAACAGCAACAGTTTTTGGAATTCTTGCATTTGAAGTATTGAAAATATTTGAAGAGCTACTTTTTACATCAATGGATGCATTCACTGGTGGTATCCTATTTGAATTAATCGAACGAATAGCGGTTGTTGTTCTTGTCGGGTAAACATTTTCTGAAACGAAAGTTCGCCAAACCCTTTTATTTTTCTAGAGTTCGATACTATCCGGTGCTGGCTTCACTACAATTGCGTAATGTTGTGTCACGGTTTTTTATTGCTCTCTATATACTTGGCGATATTGTATACTCGATTGTACGAGAAGGATCGTGTATGGGCTTTCTACCGTCGTCGAGATATTATTCAACTATAGAAGAAGCAAAACTTCGAATGGTATGGTTAGCCTTTTAGTTCAGAGTTTTTGAAAAGAATCCTGTTAGGAATCGATTTTAAAGTCTAATATTTAACAACGTTTTCATCTTTCTCTCATAGGAACTTGGTTCGTGGTTTATCGTTTATGGTTTAATAAAAACTTCTCCACATTTCATCTTTCTTTCATATATCGGTGCTGAATTATGTGTACGCTTTGGATATGATTCACTATACGTACCAATAAAAAAGAATCTTAGTATATGGATAGCACCCGTTGTGCAACAGGATGAATTAGAATTTTCAACATATTATGTAAAAAAATTATTTCGAAAAAATCTAAAGGCAAAACAAAAAGAACATCAACGAATGACAGCGTTGGCTAAACGTAAGGGTGATGTCGTAACGGATCGTCAAACAGAAGAAGAAATGAAAAGATCGCCTTTGAAAAAGTTTTTTGACGAACACATTTACCGTTGGGATGAAGACTTTCGTTTTACAACGATCGCTACTTGTACATATACAGTAGCTATTGTTTTTCTTTATTATGTGGCATGTACATTTGTTTTCTTATATATATCAAGAACAACAGGTCACATATCATTTATAAGATATTATCTTGAATCAACATTAGATGTTGGTAAGATGACTCGTTTCTATCAGACATATGAATAAATTCGATTTTCTATTCAATTATTTTAGAATTCAAAGGTTTCTTTTCGTTGAGAGCAGAAATAATATGGAGTGCAGTACTCGCGTTTATACTTTACGGATTTCAATTATTTCTTGGAATGCAAAATTATAAAAAACATAAAATGGAACTATTTAGAGGTATATTTGATGATGTTCCATCGCCGTCAAATTTTAAAGCGAATAGTATCGTATCGAAATCTGTCCATTATTCTGGCTTTCTCGTTGGCTATATGGCATGGGGATTTTTGATAACTTTTCATCTAATACTTGTAATCTTGAGTTTTATTCGAATAATATCGTTTCAAATGCGTTATGTGGAATTGATACTTGCTGTTACTGTGCCGGTGACTGTTGTCTATCTATTGAAAATGGTCGGAGCATCAACAGCAGGCACGCTCTGCTTCATGCAGCTCGACGATGAAAAAGTTAATTTGGATAATCGAAAAACTTATGCAATTTTTCTTTATTTTAATTTTTTTGCTGGTAAGATTTATTTAATTTAAAAGCATAAAACAGCAATTGTATTTGTCTTTGTTAAAGATTGTTTTCTTGGTGTTGCGTCATGTATTATTCGATTTGTGAAAGCAACTGGTCTTAATTTAATTTATATGGCACGGCTCGACTGTAGTTTTCTAGGACGACCCATAGAACGATTTGGTAAAATAGTTGCTTGTTAACAAGCAATGTTTTTCTTTCATCTTCTAATTTAGATCTTGGTTATGCTGCTTATGTCTCATATTTACATATGGAAGTAGCTCATACAAATCCAATCATGCTTGGTTAGTTTCTAGAAGATCGACGTTCTATTTTATTCTAGATTTTTGTTTAAATTTCAGCTTTTTGTTATACATTATATGATGATGTTGTGAAACGGCGGGACAAACATTGTTACGATGATGAATGCTGTATTGCTCCAGGTGAACTCGACGACAATAACTCAGATATACAACAAATATCAGCAAAGGAAAAGAATCCTAACGTAAATGAAACATCGTCGGACAAGAAAAAAATATCACGGCAAGAAAGTGTATCGTCAAAAAAATCGATCAAAGAAAAGCAACCTTCAATTCCTATTGATGACAATCGTCATTCAGTAAGAGAAGTAAAGTCGAAATCGAAATCTCCAAATCCATCAATAGTAAGATTAATATATTATGTACAAGTCGTTATACTTATCCATTGCTTGATTAGGTTTCAGATAAAAGTAGTCAAAAATCGAAAACACGGAAATTAAGTATTGATAATAACATCAACGAAGAAGAAGAAGAAGAAGAAGAAGAAGAAGAAGAAGAAGAAGATGGTGGTTCTCGCGCACCAACTATTGCAACCATTAGTCGACTTATTCCTGAAAAACAGCCGAATCTACCAAAACCATCAGCACCTTTTCCTGATGTACCTCCTCGTCAAGATCGTCCTACTAAAGACGATGACGATGACGATGACGATGACGATGGAGGCTTAAAACCACTATCAATTTCTACTATATCAACAATCATTCCTAAAAAAGTACCACATTTAATGCCGATACAAGGAAAACCGCCACCGATTATTCCAAAACGAGACGATATAGTTGAGGATGAAGAAGATGATGATGGTGGAATCAACGCAAAATTCATTGCGCAACAACAACGAGAATTAGAAGAGAAGAAAAAGAAGAAAGAACTTGAAAAAGCGAAGAAAAAATCAGTTATTCGTGATGACAATGAAGATGATGATGGCGGAATTGATCCAAGAATAATAGCTAATCAGAAACGAGAATTAGAAGAGAAGAAAAAGAAGAAAGAACTTGAAAAAGCGAAGAAACAATCTGCTATTCTCGATGACAATGAAGACGATGATGGAGGAATACGAAAAACTAAACCTACTTCTAAAACAAAACCGAAGAAAAACTCCATAAAACCAATCATATTGGATGATGAAGATGAAGATGAAGATGGTGGTACTTCGAAAAGAAAACAACAAGCAGCCGAAAAAAAGAAAAAAGAACTAGAAGCTAAGAAAAAAATCCAAGAACAAAAGAAAGCATTGAAACATCAAGATACTGATAATGATGATGATGGTGCATTGAAAATAAAACAATCTACTAAAATGAGAAAAGTCTCTAAACCAGAGATTTCAAACGACGATGATGTTGATGAAGATGGTGGACGTATCGTTAAAACTTTTGACACAATTAAAACGATTATGCTACCGAGCCGACCCGTACTCGGCAATCAACAAACGAAGCAACCTTCACCGGAAGCGTTAGAGGATGGTAGTATGTTAACATCTAGACGACAAGTACAACCAATATTGGCATCGAGTGATACAGTCGGTCGAATGGTAGCAAAATTTTCTACTGATAATAGAAAAATTGCAGAAGATAATAGATACGATACAATACCAACTGACGAAGAACGTGCTCGACGAGCGCAGGCAGTTTATTCTTCTTCATCGAAAATTGCGACATCAAATTCAAATTATTCAGCAGTCATACGAACAAAATCATATCGTGAAGCTCAACCAAGTACGCCGCCCATAACTCAACTGCAATCAGCTGGTTCACCATCGAAACGTAGTGGTAGTAATGCAACTGAAGATAGTAGCCATTATTCAGAAATAACGGATGAAACAGCTTCATCGGGTATTATAAATCATTCGTATTCAGGATCTATTCGATCATCGTCGATTCATTCAATCAAACAACAAAGTAGATTTTCATCAGAAAAAGCTTTAAAAGAACAAAAAGCAGAAGAATCATCTGTTACAGCAGAGGACGATGAAGAAGATGAAGACGAGAAGGAAGAAGAAGAGGAACAACCACTACCACCGAAACAGAAACCTTTGAGAGAAACACTCACTAATCAGTCTACCGCTTTTTCAACTAATGGTAATTTAGCCGATCCAAACCAAACGAAGGCTGCTGCAAAAAAGGAAGCGGAAAAGAAAAAACGAGCATGTTTTCGTTGGCATCTAGCATATACGATTATTAATAACTATCATCTGTTTGATCTGAGAAAACATGCGGAAAGTCGCCTTGCTCTATTACGTATTCAACGAAGTAATGCATCCGATGAAGCTCAAAATGCTGCGGGTGCTCCTGCCGCAGAACCACTGGTAACAACTCAAGTGTCTCGACATCGAGGAGCGCGATCTGCTGACACCACGTATGTTAATATTGAAAAGCGTTCTTTTCTTTGCTAAATTTTACTATATTTTTAGGCCTAGAGTATTTATAGCAAACTCACCCGCATCACCTGAACCACGACCACCAGCAGGCCGCCGTCTAATTTCTGCGCCGGGACCTCCAGCTGGAGATTCTTTTCCTCAAAGTCCAGCTGAACGGTATATTGCCATTCGTTCATGTATGCTATATGATGTAAAAGCGTCACAAGGAATGGGCCCGCAGTCACTAGTTACACGAAATGTTAATCCTAATAATATGGGAGCTCGTTCTCAATATCTATCAGCCGATATGGCTAATGAATTAAATATGAATCGTCCATCGTATCAACGGCAAGCATCACATTGTTCATCATCAACGGTAACAACTGTATTCAATAATACACCAAACTTTCAAGCTATACCTGAGTCAAGTCCAGCTGCACCCGATTATCAGTTAGCAAACGATCCGCTGACGATGAACGGCAGTACATTACGTTCGCAAATGAATTATGCACAACACATGCAAGCATTGCGTAGGAAACAAGTAAAGAAATTCCAGAAAAAACGCCCATATTGTTATGTTTATGGGCCACCAGTTCAACAGCCAATGGAAGAAAAAGTGTCAACTGCTGCTATTCTTTCACCACAAATACTTTCATCGACTGATCGATCACGTTTTCAATTTCCATCTAATGCTAAAAATAACGATGGAAAGCAAAACAAATCTAATGAACCGACAATCCGTACAGCATCATCATCGCATAACGGAGAAACTAACCGAAATAAATCTATTAACAACAAACCAGTACAAACCAAAGTAACTTTGACTGCGCGAAGAGATTCGCAAAGTAGTTTTTCAAATGTGACTGAAGTTTAAATGTTCGCTACGACATGATAAATTAGTCATGTAAAGAATTTTCTAGACAATATTTGTTCTGATTTATTTTCATATTCAGGTTTTTCTTTTGTAATATTAAAACGAAATTTTTTGGTTTTGTTTTTATTCAAATAGATTGTATATAATGAGTTGTGTAGTTGAATAGAGACGTGTCTCATTGAGAATACAGTCGGTAAAGCTCTATTAGCGAAAAACAAATGTTGTCAGACACCGAGAAAAATTGAAATATGTTCTCATAGGAGAATTATTTATTAGTAACGAGACCTGTACGCTGAATAACATTAGCCGAAGCGAAAGAGTACAGTTTCATATGAATTGTGAACAAAAATAGGCGAATAATTCATATTCTTTCAAGTAAACATGTAATGAAAAGAATTTTTCTTTCGATTCTCTACGTACATAATCGATTTCACATAGGGATGCGTGCTTTTGATTTTCGGTACTTAAATATGAGTATAGGTTATATTCGATGTAATCGAATCAATTCGTTTAAGAAAATCATCATTTGAATTATCAATTGTGTTTAACTGATCCGAGATACGGTTGAATGTCAGATGCTTATTATTCGATACTGTTTGTCGATGATTATAATATTCGTTTATAACTTGCTTGATTTCATCGAGTAAATTGAACGAATTATCTTGGCGCGATGTGGTTGATCGACGTGAGAAATCTGTCCAATGATCTATGGAAATGATGTGTTGATGATTCCACATAGTTAATAAATCATCAAAATTATTTGAAGCGAATAAATTATAGTCATCTAGAATATTTCCGTTCGCAATGAAAATCATACGGATGTTATCTAACCTGTTGACATCATTGTTAAATTTATAGCAAATCGCATCTGTTCACGAATAGCCAAAAGACGTTGTTGTTCAATAGTTTGCAATTGAATATAACTTGTTTGATAGGTATTACAGAATTGCTCTTGATATTTTACTAGAATCAGAAGTATTTAGAACTAAATTCTAGAGATCAAAAAATCTCAAGTGGTTTGGATATGAAATTTAGAGAGAGAAAAACGTTCTTGTGATTTTGTTTCCTAAATCATACACTATGAATCGATACAACTGAAATTCTATCTACATACTTGGTCCGCTTCGATCAAAATTTTGCTTGATATGTTTATCGTGTTTATGTAATAGATTTTCTAAATCCGATTTACTTTGTACGATTTTATGAAAATGTTTTTGAAATAAAGCAAAATTTTTATTCGCTTCTTGAAGAATATTTAATTTAGTTCGAAGTTCATTAATATGCTCCTGTAATATTATCATATATCTGAAAAAGAATTTTTGTTCAATGAAATATTTTTATTATATTTATTTTTTACCGAATCATGTCTCGTCGGTAAATACCATATAGACAATGTTCTTGTTGGAGAGGAAGAAGAAAATTATCCGTATACTTCTGTAGATCTTTAAGAAAGTTTGTGTAGATTAAATCGAGTTTTCGATTTTGCTTGTAGAGAAATCTAAGACATTGTTCACCTTGATACACTCGATCAATAATTGCATATGGATTAATCAATATGTATTTATGTTTTTCTTTCGATAAAATCATTGATCGATGTTTTTTAATCAAATTCGGCGAACAAACATAACAAGTTTGAGTATCTTTTGATTCATTTGATTGCGAAACTTGTGTTTGCTCGTCTGTACAAGTATTCATTGAATTTTGACATTGTGTAGAAATTTCGTTTTTTGTGTTATACATACAGTTTTTATGACAAGTTTTGAGTATTGTACGAGGATCAATAATTGATTTACGAATTAATAATGAGAAAAGTGAAGATTCATTGTTCGATATCATATGAAAGAGTTATATTGGCGCCGATCTCTGATTATCTACAGCTATAATTAAATCTGCGATATTATTTAGACATATTTGATTGTTATCGTGCAGTTTAATCATTGCATGAATAGGAAGGGTTTCTTTTTTTAGAATTTGTAGACACAACGGGACGGATGAATAAAAAAATTTTTCCGACGCGAACGATTTTAATCATATCTGAAGTTCGGTTTAAAGTTTTGAACATTGATTATGTAGATACTATATGATTTCTGTATGAACATTTACAATATAAAACTTGATAACGTGTGTTGATGACTCCGCCGTTACTAAACATTTATAGAAAAAGCACTTAGTGTCAATGCGTATATAATTGACATTTCACCATAAAAACAAAAAGAAAACACAGAAAAAGTTGTACAGTTCATTAGCCACTTAAAAATTCTATTACAGAGCAAAACAAAAAAACAATTTAAATGCTTTTTTCATTATTCAAACTTTTATTTTATGATTTGCATTAACATATAGTATCAACCGGTGAAGTATAAGCGATTGATATGACTGTAAGCGCCGCTGAAACTCAGGCGAATGTAGGAATTCTAACATTCATTTATTTGATGTTCCATTTAGTCAAGTTTCCTTGGAATGTTTTTCAATTGAAACGTGAAAATTTTTCATTCTGGTTTGTTGTACATATGTAGAATGTGATAGACTTAAGAATTTCTGAATATTAATTATTCTGTTGTTCAAAGATGACTCCATTGTTCTCAGCATGAATGAACCTTTGCCCATGATTTCGTTAAGTCTGATAAGACCAAAACAAAAGAAGAGTTCATTTTATTCAAAGGCAATCTTTAAAAGTTATAAAGATCACCCCTAGACAATACTATATGAATATGAAAGAACGTAACACAATGTTCAATATTCACCCAAATAGAAGCATAAAGTAGATCATTTTTCAGCATGAAATTAAAAGTATCCTAGTTGACATATTTCTGTATAAAAATCCCATGATCAAGTTCTAGCATGTTTACATGATTAGTTAAGTCTTATGAGTAGACGAGGAACACAAACAATCTCGGTCGCTCGCGAAGCTTTCTTCATCTACTAAAGATTTCTTCGTTCAAGCTTACTACTGCTTGTATGCTATTTTAGCCGCAGCTGTGGTAACCGCTCCTACCAATATGGTTGTTTATCGAGGCTTAATTGGGCAAACTTTCGCCTTTACCATCACCGTGAGTGCAAGTGGCTCGCTATGGAGCACAGCTATCTACATAGATGATTCAACTCTTGCTACTGCTGTTGTACACACAGGTTTCGGAACCAATGGGCAAGCTCTAACTATGAATCAGTACAGCTTCGCCGAATATTACTTTCGCCGAATAAAAATATTGACCGAAAAATATTGAATCAAATTTGATCCATTCTAGATATAGAATTTTATCCTAACTAACTACTTTAATAGTGACTTGATTAACTAACCCCATCTGACTTGGTAACACACACCCACACCCACACCCGCACTCACACCTACACTCACACTCACACTCACACTCACACCCACACCCACAGCCACACTCACACTCACACCCACACCTTTCACCTGTGAGGAAAGAATCGAAAATAACAGAATACTGTGAATGACTCATTTTTGCCTGTTTATGCTACTTGACAAAGAAATACAACAAAATAAAAATTCAAATATTTTCGCCGAAATCTCTCGGAGCGCAGTCATACTAAAAAGGCGTAGTGAATTGCTATTCGAGAGACAACAGTAAAAAGCAATAGAAAACGTAAACAAGCTTCAATTTCAGCTAAGGTAAATGTTACGTTCGATTACAGTGATCTATTTGTATCGATCTTAGACATTTTCTAAAAGCCTCTAGAATATTCAAGTAATTTATAACATGGCTTGCTATTCATTTAAACAATTAGAAAAAATAATCCCCTGAAGAAACATCAAAAGAGATAGCTGGAGAATTGTAATGATAGCATTCTATGTTTTCTGCCAGTTTTACCATCTTATTTATAGTGCTCATGGTAAAATCGATATGTATCAAAAGGGACGAACGATAAAATTTAATAAAAAGAAAATATTTCTTTATGTAAAAGTTATTTTTTTTTCGTTTGACTATGATGAGTGAGAAGTAGCTTAATAATTGATCGACATCGATTTCAAAAACTCTTTTTGTATATTCGTATGTATATATAGTTACGTATTGTGTCCATTTCTTTTGTAAATCCAATATTATATTAATACTGTTTCTCTTTTTACTTGATATGCAAAATCATGTAAAACTAGCAGACACTTGCGTTTATTAGTAATCATAAAAGACACGCTGCTTGTATTGTGATATGTAGTAAAAAGAAGAAAACAAGATATGGCGTAACTTTATTTTATTTATATGTTTTTTCTTTTTTCGTGCTCATTTCTTCAGCTCGATTCTACGTTTATACTATTGACGAAACATGGTAACTAGTGAAAATAGATAACACAAGAAATGAAGAAATAAAGTATCACTTCTTGAATTAAAAATTTTTTTTAAAGATTTATGGGAAAGTATACTTTTCACTATTATTGTGTTTGACATTTAGTTTTCGATAACTTTTCTTTCGGCCATTTTAATGCCATTCGCAACATCATACTAAAAGGCTTTAAATTCAATCGTTCTATATGTGCACCTTGTTCTTATATTAGAATATAGAAATAATAGCTCCCATATGCTAATTACCTGCTAGAACCGGTTCTAGGTTTCGCCAGCAGCCATTTTTTTCCGTCTGTTTTTTTTTACAACCAACGGTATCTCCATACTGGCTTGTTTATATATGCGTATTTGAATTTCTTGAATTCAATGCTCGTGTCATTTATACGTTTATTTGATATAATAATTATTAGATGCATAACCTTCGAAGATAACCTTATATGTATAACTTAATGGTACGATTTATTGTTATAGCATGAATATGTTTTTTTGAAAAAATAATGCGATATTTCCACGAATCCTGTATTGTAGTTTGGACTTGTACTAGCTGAAATATGGAGCCTTTTAAAACTCGAGCCAATTTTTGAATGAAGAGCAATATTGATAATTGATAAAAGTTGAAATATTTAATATTTCATCTTCCCATAAACTATGAAAACAATTATTAGTCAAGGTTTAGAATTTATTTTACACACAACTAGGAATAAAAGAGTACATGCTAAATATTTCTTATTAAAATCATTTCAACTAAGATAATATTGATCGTTTTTTTTGCACAATCTAGAGAAATTGCAAATAAAAAACGAAAATGTCAAGATCCGTTAATGAAATCATAACAGATTTAACATCATTTAATCCTCGAACAGCTACAGCGCAACATCGTCTGTCACATGATTGTTATATGATATTGGTAGGTTATGTAGACGATAAGAAACAATTAGCCAAGTTAAAACATATGATCGAATCCCTTGGAGAAACAACTACCGATGAGTATGGAGCAGCAGCTAGTCTTGCTGTTATGGAATGTGAAAATGTGGAATTTATCATTGAACATATTGTTTTAAGATATAATTCCGAGGAACTACTAGATGCCCGCAATGAACATTTCGTTTATGAAGATAATTTTAATGGTGCTCTTACTAGCTTTATTGCAGAAACAGCATCATTACAAAAACTGAGGAAAATCTGCCGCTACTACGAAAATAGACGAGGTATAAATGTGGATAATGTGATTGCAGAACATGATGCACGTGCTGCTAGTTCGAGTAAACATTTCCTTGAAAAAGGTTTATCTAAAGATGAAGCTCTAGCCGCAGCATTTGCAATATCGTTCTACACTGGATCGAAAAGTGAAGCATGTAGCAGAGGTGCTAGTCTAATTGCACGACAAAGTAATGGAGTAGTTATCGATGATAAAACAGTACAGGAATTGAGTGAAGCATCGATCATTCTCTATTATCTAGTAAAAGCTTTATCACAAATACCATATTATTGGGGTTATGTAACACGAGCTTGTCAATTGAAAGATGCTGAATTAGAAATGTATGCTGCTGGTGCTTTAATTACATGGATTCAATTTAGTAGCTCAAAAAAAGGCAAAAAAGCAGCTAATAACGGTGACTTCTCAAATAGAAATACATTTTTCAAAATCTATTCTTTAACTGGTCGTCCTATCCAACAATTTTCGAATTATCCAGAGGAAGACGAAGTTTTATTTTTACCACATTCGACCTTTCTCGTTTTCAAACACTCGGTTAGCCACCATGGCACGCAACATACAATTTACATGCGTCAAGTTGAGCTAGGTCTATCTGCATGGTCTGTACTATGGGTTGACGACAACATATTCAATGCTAAATGGGAAAATAAAGCGCACATGGAATTTGCAGCGGCTAAAGAACTAAACAAGAATGTGCATTTTATCCCCAAGTCATCGACTGAAAATGCTCTATCTTTTCTGCGATCTCCATTCGGACAAATTCTGAAAAATCGAGATAAATTTCGTATTGTTACAGATATGCATCGTGACAATGAACAGTCACCCCATAATGCTGGTTCACGTTTGATCAAAGGACTAAGACAACTTGGCTTTCGACAGGCGTGCTTTGTGTTTACAATGCAAAAAGATCGATGTGATCAAATCTTGAAAGATGAACTGAACACACGAGAACGTCAAAATGTAACAGTATCAATTAATACACTTGATTTAAGAGAATTTGTCAACTTTCAATGATTATATGTCAATTTTTTTTCTTCTTATCCATAAGAAATTACTAAACGCTCGATTCTACGTATCATAGTTTCTTTACTTTTCCCCTGTGTGCATCAAGAAGGTGATGTGACGTTTTTGTTTTTAATTCAGATTAACAAGAAGAGAACACCTCTAATAAAAACTCAATATGTCCAATGTAAAAAAATCAATTGGAGTTCAACCTTTTCTCATCATTCAATGACTGTTATATCGTTAACAGGAATTGTCAATAGTCAATTGCACTTGTATACGTCGAAATTTCAATGTTTATTTTGTAAATATAGAAGATGAACTCAACAAATATTTTGCTTGCTTTTTGTCACAACATCGACGTTTTACCAAGAACGTTTTTGACTATACCATATCGCAACTTGGTCCAGTTCAAACGGGATGCTTATATTTTCCATTGATAACCGGTATATTCTTTTTAATTAGAATTTATTTTAAACTTCCTAATGCCGATCTTAGATACATTGCCTTCAGAACTATAATAAAATAATCTTGTGAAAATTAGTTCATATGTGAATTTTCGATGACATTTTTCAACCGCTCAGTTATAGTCGAATGGTAGGGGTGTCAATTTACAGTTTATTTAATTTAAATTTAACTTCATGAAAAGTTAATTTAATTTTAAATAAAATTCTGTCAAGTTAAATTTAAAATAAATTAAAATTTTTGTATCAGAAAAATTTAAATTTAAATAAAATTTAAATTTTCAGAATTTAAATTTAATTTAAATTAAATTTTTGAAAATTTATTTCTTGATTGAACAAATTTTTTTAAATTTAAATTTTAAATTTAATAAATTGTTTGGATCGATACACATGATTGCTATGAGAGAAATACGTGACTTTTACAGTAGTAAATACTAAATGAGAGAAAAAACCTTGTATTTTAGGTTAATATTTATTCATAATAGTCAAAATTTCTCTACAGATTATGCAGGATCCGTCATCTTTCGTCTTCAGAATACTGTGATACTCATAAAAATATATTTAATAGTACAATTCATAGAAGAATGACTAGTTTTAACTTTAAATAGTAGCAATCAAGTCAAAAACTATCTTGAGGGTGTGGGTGTGGGTGTGGGTGTGGATTTGCATGTATAGTGTGCATGTGGATGAGCGTTTGGACAGAATAACACCCACAGTCACACCCTTTATTTTCGGAAGCCTCTGTTCTCAATACTGGAACCTGTGCTTCGCACTGCATTTCGTAGTCGAGTAAAGCTCGAGTATCATCTAGTTAATTTTGTATTTGATTCTCGTTGAAAATCAATAAAATATATTGAAACAAAATGAAGAAAAACTTCATGCTGACTTTTACTTGGACCTGAAACTCTATGGATCTGATAGGGTGTAAAATGAAAAATCTCTGTGATAGGGTAGGGTAAGGGTACAAAGCCCCTAGGGCAGGGTAGGGCTAGGGTAAGAACGTCGTAGGGCAGGGTTAGGGTACAAAAAAGCCTTAACCTGCAGGACTCTACAATTCACTCACCTATATATTATAATTCTATTACTTCAGATATATAGCTGCATAAGAATGCTTCAATTATGAAAGTCTCTTACGATCTAAATGAACTTTATTTTAGCTACCTGTGCATTTATGAAACACATATACGCGTAAATGGTCGAGTTCGTTTTCTATTAATATTTATGATTTAAATAGCAAAGCGTAAAACTAAACTTTGACGTAAACTTACTTTTTTACATAGTTGTTCATTATCATAGTTTCAATTTTCCATGGACAGAAATGCATTAATAATAAAGAACCATACGTCACAACATTCTATTATTTGAACATGTTTCAATTAAAATTCTAAATATTATGATAAATAATTAATCTACACACTACTTTTTCATTAATTATTTAATAACATAAAATAAAATTGAAAGTATTGACGTAAAACGTGATTGAAGTTCATTCATTAACTTTTACTAGTGATAGAAATATCTTTAGATCTAGAAAAATGTATCTAAAATTATGAAAAAATGAATTATATTCGGACAAAAAACTATTCTTTCTTTCTCACGAGCCCATCTCTCGTTCGTGTCGTTTACTAATTAAACGATTTGCTCATTCCTGTAGTATTCTTATGTACTTCGGTTCTAATATATTTGTAAAAACAAATCTTGTCAGACGATAAAAATAGATTAAAACAGAACAGCAACTTCATAAGGAAAAGTTCGATCTAACAAAGCGCAGAGAAGAACAAATATCAATTATATTTTCTTTTGCTTTTGCTTTTCTTTCGAAAAAAAAACGATCGTTATTTTACATTTACTATCTTGGATGTAATATTCTTGGCTGTTAATACGTAAAATAATTCTATGATTTTGTCAAGACGTTTATGACATCGGCAGGAGCTTTTGATTGATCATGAAATAAATTTTCAAAATTTCTAATGAAATGATGATTTTCCTTCTTTCGTTAATAATACCTAGAGACAACTGATTGTAAAAGTTTTGATTTTTAATTGCTAATCGAAAGACTATCCACGATAAGAACTCATTGATCTAGTTTAATTCATCAATCGTTTCTGCATTTACACACGTTCTTGAATATATCAATTTTATGTTCTTTACTACTTCTTCCATAAATATAATAGCTTCCAACATCTATCCATGGTATTATGAATAATGTGCACTGAGAATGAAGAAAAAAATTAGTTCTCTATCATCACCTATATAATATTCACCAAAACTTCTCTATAAAGTTAACTATGATTTACAAAGCTGTAACGAATTTCACTGAAAAACTGTTCACGAAATAAGGCGAACCAGCACCGTTTTTTTTTATTTCGTGCGCGTAGGAAAATGTTTTTCATCATAGAATATCAAGAAAAATTCATTTATGATTTACTTTGAAAACTGCGTTCTTTTATGCAAGGGTTTGGATTAGAAAATAGAACATACATCTATTTATCTCCTAGTACAAATATTATGTCAAACTAATTAGTTGATTCATACTGAAGAAGGACTAATCCTTGAAAATACGCCTACTCGTGATTATTGTTGGCTCTGTTGCTATTCGATCATTGAAATCATTTCGAGTTTCTATGATAATCACGAAACATAAAATATATTAAAGTATTTAATTCTATTAACTAAACTACGAAATATACTGTAGTTACACTCAAAAGATCATCTTAAAATATGATACATTGTAAGAACGTAACATTACATCATATTTTCTGCGCTACCTAAAAAAGTCAGACTGTTTTGCATCGTGAAAAAACTTGATCTGACGGTAAATAACCCTAGGTAATTACTTACAAAAACGTTTATATATCAAAACAAGAGACGAGAATAATTCTATTTTATGTGCCGAGACATGGATTGAACGGATTAAAGCTAAAAAAATCTAGATCTAATTCACTTATATCTTAATTAATAAACTAGTGATATTTTGAATGAACAGATTAAGACTTAAGATCAAATCATATAAATCGAAGTTTTCACAAATTAACGAGATAAAAATTATTAATTTACATTAGTACTGATATGATAAACATAAAAATGCAAAGAAAAAAATCCTTTTTATTGTTTCAAATCTGAGTTACATAATTTTTTAAATTTAACATCAGTTGTCATCCTCAAAATGATGGCTTCACGTACAACATCACTTCGTAGGATCTACACGAAAAAAATTTTTTTTAACCGTGTATCGCGACAGTATTATCGCTATATACTTGACTTTTCCGTATTTACATTGCAAAAGTAACTTCGATACAACATACGTATATAGATGTCATCGAAAACTCACAGCAGTTTGCAGAGAATCGAATTCTGTATTCTTCGATACGTAATTAAGTATTACATATAATTTTTTCCTCTCAAATATTTGCATAAAATAGAACATATCACAATCCGTTCGCCTGATACTAATAGTCATAATGGCTGAATAGAAATATATTTCTTGCTTTGGTGTAATTGAGAAGATACGTATCAACCAACGGTGAATCTCTCGAATCAGGAGATTTTTACATTTCTGTTATCCGCATGATACTTGAGTAAAATTTTGGAAAGCTCTTGGATTGAATAAAGTGTTACTTTAAGCAAATCTTACAATGTCTCTGTTATTCAAATATTTGCAGTATTAATTTATTTGCAACAGATTTCTACTTACAGTTTTAAAAGCATAGCTATGATAATTTTCGAATCCAATACACAAGAAAATCCAACGATGATTCATAACATCTGAATATATATATACATATTGATTGATAAATCTAAAATAAAATCAATTAATTTTGTATTTCTTGACAATCAAGTTAATGTTTAGTAATAATTTAATTACTAGATTACATCAGCCATGCGTAAAAAATTACACAAACGAAACATTGCCATGAATTATACTCTGCAGAATAGAATAACATGCTACCCTTTCAACTGCCGAGCATTTTTATGATTTCATTCACATGGATTTCATCGAATCGACGCCATTTAAACTCTGTTGGAACAGAATAATTTCGTTTCAATACTTTTTTTTGTTTGTTTATAACGTAAGAGCGTTACTTAGCGACAAAATAAAATAGAAGCGACCAACAGATTGCTGATAAAAATTGCAACAAATCGTTGTAGTTCTTTTTGATATCAAATCATACTTTCTACTTCTGAAGAGATGCTAAGAAATGATTGTCTTAAGATAGATAATTTTGAAAAATGTCATGATCTACTGTTATTTTATAGAATAGAAAGACTAACAATCATTTAAATATTGAAATGACAAATGTGAAAATCCAGCAGACCTGCTCTTTAATCTGCATCATGCCTATATTGACCCATATTTAACGGATTGATGAATAGAATATTCTCTTTTCTTAAGAAATTAATTGATACTATAATAGAAATCAAGAAGATCGAAGTAATCATTGTTTTCTCATCTAAATAGTAAATTTCTCTTCAAACTAAATGCAAAAAAGTGACGGTGTATTTCAAATCATATATTAATGTCGCTCATTGTGTTCTCTATTATTGAACAACATATGCTTTTTACTAAATGCTTGCGACATTCTTCTCGTTACAATTGAATTTTGTCAGTCAACCATAACTCATGTGAGTGGTGCGCTTTCTTTCTTTCTGTTTCTCTTGAAAGCGTACAATGACCATGAAAAGTCAAGTATTTCATTTGTAATTACTTTAGGCATAGTCATAAACGTACGAAAACCAGTCTATTCAACAAGAGGTTTCGTTTAAAATTCATTGGTTAATCGAAGACTCTATGTTGCATTGTATTCAAATTCCTTCAATTTTCAATGATTTCGATGTGTGCTGCAAAACTAATATCAAGACTTAGAAGTATACATGATAATTCCTCACATTTGTTCTGTTATTGAACATTGCTGAGTTTCCGGCACCCTTTCGAAATTGAAACAGGCATTAAACTAATGTTTGTCACACCTCTATGACGTGCACATTTACTCTATCGACTCGTATTTTTTTAGTTCATCTGGCATTTCAACATTTGCTAAAATTTTTACTTCGCCTTAGCTCAAGAGTATTATCTAACTGATGATAACAAATTTCTATCGATTATTTATTGAGTAAATACAGAAAAATCTTCTCCCTAAAATTTATTTCGTTTCTTTTCAACGACTGTTGTTATCTTGAACTATTCATATTCACCTGAATATAGACGTAACTGAATACAAAAATATATTTCTACATTATATTAGAGTGACGTAGTTGCATAGGAATAGATCAACGACTTCGAACTCATTTCGCTATATTCTATTGAGATGGATATAGATCTCTCAGCATTATACTGAATATTGAGAAGAAAATTTGGCAGTATGATCTATCGTATATACTCTGTCGTTTTAATCTAATTATGAAGCATCTCCAGATTCGTATATAACAAAAGACGCACGTTTATATGAGTAACTTTATAGAAGACTTACATTTGAGAAGACTGATGTGTATTTCTTAACTATGCAGTGAATTCCTAAAAGTTCTTCGTTACTCAATAATGCTATTTTGAAGCGCTAATATTGATAGAGAAGAGAACAGAGAAAAATATTATATGAATAGATCATGTAAGCAATTTAGAAGATATTATCTGTGTAAGAACCATACATTTTCAAAACATTAAATCTCGAAGTCTGATATTCTTCAGAATTAGACCTCAAATACAAATTTTGTAATACAGCAGAGAAAAACAAAGTTAAGTCAGTTTTTCAATAGTTTATATGCTTTTTAAAGTCACTAGTGTCGTAGTTTATTGTTGGTGAAAATGTAATTATTATCAAAATCTTGAATATAGCGATGCTTTGGCATAAATATTTTATCTGTAAATTGAACACTACACCTGTGATTTACGCTTTTGGAACGTACAATTGTACTGAATCAATGATCAATGAAGAAGCGATTATCGTTATTTAGAGTGCGTTTGTTCTATGTAGTGAAAGAAAAGGATGAAGAAACAACAGGTTAAGTATTTGATATGAGCAATATAGAGACAGCTATACGAATGAATTCAATAAGAAAGATGAATATTTGATCACAAAAAAGCAACATCAAATTTTAATAAATCAAACAAACTTAAAAGTTTGATCAGTAGCTCATTCAGTCCCGATAAAAAAGTGATGATTTGTTTGCAGCTGTGAAGAAGCGCTGGATCATTTTTAAAAGAAGAAATAGATGTTAACGTAAGCCGAATTTTCTTTCTTTGAAATGATTTAGTGTTACTATGTTGACTATACTCGAATTCAAATTCAATTTATATTTTTAGATTTAGAACGGGAAAATTCTTATTCATTAAACTTTCATCGACGTTATATTAGAGAGGTTATAAAGCAGAACCCATAGTATTATATTACAATTGTATTTTTGAAACTGAAATGTGTCACTTTCAGGTCTAATCAATATTAGAATTTATTCTTCTGTAGTGCAAACTCAATTAAATTTATTTAAAAAGAAATTATTGAGGAGGCGGAACATTTTCTTCGAACGCTCCCATCATGTTGCCTGCCGGGCCATATTGGGCAACAACAACTACGGTTTTACCATCATCACTAAAACCGACTCCTACACCCAAGCTGCTTGAACTCTTCCAAATGAGTTGCGTGAAATGGCCAGTTTCCATTGAGAAATCAGGATTGTTGAAATCATAATATTTGATTTCATCATACCAAGACTGAGTAGCATCCGTACCTATAACAATTAAAGTTATTTGTGCAAACAAGTCTTGATTTTCACTAACCGAAAGTTTGATCTGTTAATGGTGCCGAACTACTCATAGTATACAAGTTTTCACCGAGATTATCACGATTGGAACTATGTTCGAATAAGTTCTTTTTTGCCAAATGTTTGGCATAAGCTTGAGCTGTGCGAGTAATTCCGGCATCAAGTACAAGTGGCGGGACACCGTGTTTAGCTCGAAATGTATTATGACTGTTTAAAGCTTGCATTTCCCATGTTGCCGGAGAAAGATCAGCAAGCTTTTTAGATTCTGATAGTGGTGGCGATGGTTGTGGCGGGGCATTGTTTTCTAGTATAGACAGAGATAAATCAATAAATAATATTTCATTTTCGTGAATAAATGTTACTTACGATTGTTCGTCTGACAATTTTCGTTTGCATCAGTCGAATTATTGCAGCCCATGATTTAATCAGTTATAAGTGGATACTTGATCTGGAAGAATGTGAAATTTTACCAGTCGCATACAAAGAAGAAGACTGATAATTTGATTCAAACAGTGATTTATCTACTGTATGGGCAAGGTGGGCGCCGCCCACCCGAAAATAAAAAGTTGATTTAATAAAAGTAACGGGTGGCTCATAAAGAATGGTGGTCTCATTATTTACTCAATACCGTTTTTTCTCTCCATTGATTTGAATTGAACATTTTCCCAAAAGATTGAGCATTCAATTCTCTACAAGCTCCTGTGTAGAAGATTTTTTAAAACTACCAAACGGCTAAGTACTAAAACGAAGAAAAAAGGTTAAAAAATCTTCAGCTTTCAAGCTCAACACACATTAACATTTGGAGTATGTTTCGACAATTTATACACAGGCTTAAGTTATGGGAGAAACGTTTTCTGGTATTTTCAACCACGCTCTTTTCGATATCTTTGAAAAACATTTCTTTAAAAATGGTCTTCGCCTATTAAATCGATATTTTCTGAAAACTCGTCCATAACGCCTTAATTTCGGTTTACAAGATAGTCTACTGCAAACAAAGCTTTGCATCACTCGAACAAGTGTAAAGGGATGCAGTCGAGTATGTTGACTTTCAAAGAAAACAAAATCGTCAAAAAATAACACTTTTTAAGTGAATGGCATGCGTTTTAGTGCAAGCATCACAAACATGCCATGCCAGTTGTGTTTTTTAGAAAAAGCGAAAAAACTGATGCAGAATTTTTTACTCATTTTTTAATGAAAAAAAATTCAAAGACATGAATCTTGCCCAGAGTCTAATGCTCTTTAACATGGCAGACTGAGATTTTTGTAGATCCTTACATGGAAAGCAAATTTTCAAAAAAAGACGGATTTAGTGCTTGAAAGTTGAAGATTTTTCGACCTTTTTTCTCCGTTTTAGTACTTGGCCATTTTGTAGTTTAAAAAATCTTTTACACGTGAGTTTGTAGAGAATTGAATGCTCAATCTCTTGGGAAAATGTTCAGTTCAAATCAATGAAGAGCAAAAAAGATGTTAAGTAAATAATGAGACTACCATTCTTTATGAGGCACCCGTTACTATATGATAACAAATTTTTTAGCCAGCAGCCCCTCCAAAAATTTCAACCGCCCACCCGAAAAATGAAACCTAAATAAAACACTGGATTCAGATGCTCATGTCTATTACATTTTACATGATTATTATCGTAATACTTCATTAGCTTGATACTCAGGTTTAGTATTTGCTAGAATTCTAAATATTTTTTGAACATTAATTTAATCATTATAGTATAAATAAATAAAGTAGTCCTTGGGCAGCGTAAAATCAGATTCAAGATTTGATTTTCACTACGTAACTAATCTAAACATGCCGGTGAAAAATATGAGTTTTCAAATGTGTATTAAAAAAAGAAAAAAAGCTATTCAAGTATAAACTTGCATAGATTTCTTTACGATGAAAATTTCTCCTTGTATTCGTCACTTGATTAGCATTAAACGATCCACAGTCAATTAGAAATGTAAGACATTAGTGCATGCTATTTTATCGAACGCATGCTTAGCATATAGAAAAAACTATCAAATACTCGATTATCAATCGTACGTCAACTCTTGGAATAGGAACAAAAAGTATCAACAGTAGAATAAATAATTTTTGGTAGGAAGAACTAACTGATATATATATATATATATATATATATATATATATATATTTCTATGCAACTATTTATACTTGCTTTATCGCAAACAAAACCAACAGTAGGAACAAGCGACGAACAGAGAACAATCAAACATAAGAAATAGAATCTGAATGAAATGCATGCAATAAGATCAATTTTTAGAGAAATTCAATTGATTTTATGAGTCATGTAATGTGCAATTTTAGTACGGTTTCTATGGTATTCAGCCTCTCATCACCTTTTTTATTCTGTTGCAAGCCAATAATGACATGTTTACTATTAATAAATTCAATTTTTATCTACGTCTCAAGGCAAAACAGTTCTGACTAATCATGAGTCTGTGTAACCACAACAGATCGGCTTTGTCATTATTTACTTAGTCAGTTGCTTGGTTTTCCTTTAATCGTGCGAGTACGTCATAATGGTAAACTTGAAAGAATAGTTAAGATAGTCTCACCATTCATTAAGTACGTGATTTTAACAATACAACACTATGAAAACATGAAGAAAGAGACTAAGCATAATAAGTGCAAACATAAATACAAATCTAAAAACGATCATCCGAAAAAATACAGAAGAAATCATTATTTCAAGCTAATCACAACGAATCGTACCAAAAAAATAAGCTTTTCTCCTTTAACAAACGGAAAGGATTATAGCAGATCAATGCATACATTTCGTAAATTATAAGTTAGTTTTATTAAAGAAAAGTTCGATTGAAATCTTTTGATTGATGACGAGATAATCTATACGTTTTTCAAGATGATGAAACATTAGGGAAAGCTGATTTATCTGATTGTCTTTGATTGCTGCCGGAATTTTCATAATCAGTTAAAGAATTCAATTTGTTTCTTAGTTCACAGTTCATTGTCATCATAAAGCAGGATGACAATCATGCTTTAGATTGGTATTTCTACCTGCGAGGAAAAGTTGATTTTTGATAGCCACGAGTGCCGATGATTGCTAATGGCTGTCAATGATTGCTTTGATTGCAATCGGCTTTCCCCTCTTGGATCAGCTTGTGACTTTGCCAGACCTTTCGTTCTAACAACGATCTCTTATTTCTTCAAATAAATCAATATAACAATTACAATTACAGTTACAATCCTAATTAAGGATTCCTTAATGCTGGTGCTGATAATCTTTTGTCTGATCAGCGGAATAATGATGTATTTTAATGATATGAAATGCGTGAATTATTTGAGTAAGAAGATAACGCTCAGTATTATCACTAACCAAAATGCGCAACAAGAAAAAAAGTGATTGCTTTTGACCTTGTCATCAAAATACCATTAAAATAAAATTAATGCTCAAATATATGACAGCTGTCATTTCACTCTAAAAAAGAAATTGAGCTTTTTTTTAAACTTATGCATATGAAATGATAAAGACCTATTGAGTACCCGAGGCTGTACCATCCAATGATTTAAAATATAGTATTTATATTTGTATGTGCAAACCTTAGACAATTACCAGTCATGGTGTTTCTTTGATTCACTTGTCTCGCTGTATGCAAGTTTTTATATGGGTTCGTTTGATTTCTTTTTCTCTCATCTAAAGCGAATAGAGAACCAATACGCACATAGTCCCTAATCAACTCTTCCCAGACGAATCCCCAGGGAGTCCCAGCCAATTTTCGAATTTTTGGGGAGTTCTTGTCGTGAGCCCCCGAGGAGTTCAGAAAAATATGAAAAAAAAACTAAATGGGAGTCCCTTAGAAATCCTAGGGAGTAGGCAGGGAGTCTCTAGAGATTTTTACAGGGATTCCCCATTCAGTTTTTAGAAACCCCTCAGAAATTTTGAAGATTCTTTCGGATATTTTACGTAGGTTTTTGATAGTTTGGAAAGAAATTTCGATAGAAATTTTTTCATATTTTTCTTAACTCCTCGAGAACTCACGACAAGGACCTCCAAAAATTTGAAAATTGACGGAGACTCTCTGGGATTGGTCTGGCAAGAGTTGACTAGGGAGTTCTTCTTTCATTTTCATAATAAATTTTACATGCAAGCTAACTTACCCAACAGAACATCATTTTATAAATCACTTTACTTAGGATTGGTAGGAATATGAAATGTTGTAAAATATATTATTTCTAATAGAGTCATCCGGTTGTTGCTAAAAACTATAAAACATTTGAATATTTACTAGTGGTAGAAATAAATTCATAAGAGACACACCGTAACAGCAACATTAGCATTTTTTTCAAATACCCAGGCAAATAAATCCAACAGTGAATCCTATTGGATCTCATATGATCCGACAAACCGACGAAATTCGGTTGGATTCTGAGTCTATGACCTACTAACAGATCTGACGAAAAAAAAACATTTTCTTAATCACCAATGAATAAGCATATGGTGTCAACAGAACACATGGGCCGAATGTTTATTTTGGATTCCGTTAAATTCCGACGCTGGAACCTATCGGATTCCAACACAAGGGCTCCGATTGTAGGTCCCACACCCGGATACCAATAAGATTCCGACACGAATCCGATAGGATCCTACTATCAGAATCATTCTCCTGGGTGGTAAATGGTAGTTTGAAATTACGAAACGACGTTGATTACCATAAGTGAACAAAATTTTATTATATCATTATCAACATTTCATTTTATTATTTTTTTTCTACGAGTCTATAATGATGGATATATATGATTTTTTCTTTTATCATGCTGATCCTTATATATCTTCAATTCTTTCTATCTCTTGGATGTATAGTTCGATGAAATTTTATTTTTTAATTGTTATCAATTACTTCAGTTTTATCATTATGACAGTTTACGTCACGCGTCTATTTGTTTGTGACAAATAAACTTTCTTTGTTGACCACATAACCCGATGTTTCTAATTTTGTGTCTAGTTTTCTCAAGATGATTGCATTTGAAAAATATACCAAGTGTATATTGTGCCTATATTGATGGCACGCTTCGATTATTCTCCTTCCTTCTTTTTCTGTTCTCTTTCCATTGTTCTAATATATCTCTCTCCTGTCTCTCTTCTATATATATACGTGTGTTATGTATGAAGTTGTAACACTCTGATATGTGAGTAAAGAAACAAATGAACATCATGGCCTAGAGTAGCAGTAAGCCACTCCATCTGTATCCAGTTTGTCATTACGATATCGGATCAACCACGGTCTTATTTATCGTTACATACGTATATAACAATTTATATAAAAATTATTTGAAATATAAAATATTTTTGTTTGAATTAAAAAAAAATAGTGCATAAGTCATGTACGAAATAGGTTGCTTATTGTAGACTGTAATGAAGCGAAAAAATTACGTTGGGCAATTGAATTC